CAACCACCAACTTATTACCTGGGACAAACTGCAACTCGAAATCATACTTCAGTAGTTGTAAAAATAGTCGTTGGAGACGAGGAGGCATGTCTCCTATTTCTTTTTTTGAAATGGCCAACAGCGGATGATGGTCTGTTTCGATGGCGATATGTTTTCCCAGTACGTAGTCGTTAAACTTTTCGCAACCGAAGGCTATGCCCAAGGCCTCTTTTTCAATCTGAGCATACCGGCGTTCAGTATCGGTGAGCACCCGAGACGCGTAGCCTACCGCACGCCAGTCCATTCCATGCTGCTGAAGCAACGCAGCCCCTAGAGCAAATGCGGACGCATCAGTTGACAACTTGCTGGGCAACTCGGGATCATAGATTGCTAGAACTGGGGTTTGCGTCAGCATTTTTTTTAGGTGCTCCCACTGACGTTCATGTACGCTGGTCCATTCAAAAATGGTGTCGTTCCTAACTAGACTGCGTAGGGCCTCCGTTTGAGCCGACAGGTGTGGTAAATATTTCCCGAAGTAGTTCACTGCACCAAGGAGGCGTTGAACTTCCTTTTTTGTCGTTGGAGTAGGGTGCCGTACAACGCAGCTTATCAAGTCCGGGTGCGGTTCAATTCCGTTGGAACTGATTCAGTCGCCAAGAAAGTTTATTTCTTTTTGGCCAAAGGTGCATTTGTCCGCATTCAGCGTCAGTCCCTCAGCTTGTGCTGTTGCCAACGCCTGGCGAAGCCTTTTGTCATGTTCTTCTCGTGTGGCGCCCCACACCAGTACATCATCTATGTACACACGCACACCAGGGAGATCGTCGAGTATCTGGCTCATTGTGCTTTGGAATACTTCCGGAGCTGAAGCGATTCCGAAGGGTAGCCTTAGATATCTGTAACGACCAAACGGACTGCTGAACGTGCAAATCTCCGAGGTCTGTTCATCAAGCGGAATCTGATGAAATCCACTGTTGGCGTCAAGGCGACTGAAATACTTGGCACGCGCTAGCTCGCTCTCGATTTCCTCGAGCCGTGGGAGCTGAAAATGTTCTCTTTTCAGTGCCCGATTCACGTTTCGAGGGTCCATGCAGATTCTTAATTTGCCATTTTTTTTTTCCGTACGATGACTAAGGGACTCACCCAGTCGGAGGCTTTCTTAACCTTTGCAATAATGCCTGCGGCCTCCATGCGTTCCAGTTCTTTCTTGAGGGGTTCCCTAAGTGCGTGCGGCACTCGTCTGGCGGGCTGGACCACTGGTACGGCGTCATATCGGAGTACCATCTTGTACTCCCGTCGTGTCTTGCCAATACCGGAGAACAGCCCCGGGAATTCCGACTCTATGCTGGGGTTGGAGGCCTTGTTCTCGACTGAACTTACTCGGTTCACGAGGCCCAGTTGCTCGCATGCACGAAGACCTAGGATAGCTTGGTTCCTTTTCACCACAAAGAAATCGAGCTGCACTGGTCGCTTGTCGAGCTGCACCAACCAATCAATCAATCAATCAGTTTATTTTTTTCTTTCAAGGGGTACACACTCCTCGAAATGGTACCTTGGTGCACAGACGAACCTTTCCGCTGTGTTGAATTTCGCCGCCCCCGTAGTGGCGAAGAATGCTTCTGGTTGGACGGGGTTTCTGCTTCGTCCTGAGCTTCTCAAACAACGCTCTGGGCAATGAGTTTGCCTGCGCTCCCGTGTCGACCTTGATTTTCACCACGGTTCCCTCGATGCGTGTGGTGACAATCCAGTCGCGATTGGAGGAAGAGCGCTCGTTCCCGGTTGCCAAAATTTCAAGAACGTCGGAGTCACCATCGCTTTCGTCCCCTTCGGCCACGTCGTGTACCACTGCCCTTTTACTCCTGCAGCAGACTGCGAAGTGATTCCGTTTGGTGCACTTGGCACATGTCTTTCCATACGCTGGGCACTTCCTCGGCGGATGAGATAAGTTACAATAAGTGCATCTTCTCTGCTCACGCTGTTTGGCTTGTCCTTGTTGAACGGGGTCAATTTTCACAGTTTCGCCATCCCACGCTTTGTTCTGTGCTTCGACACGCTCCTCAGCCTTGCAGCACTCTACTGCTACTTCCAGGGTTAGGTGTTTTTTTTTCGAAGCAGCTTTTCTCGCAACATCGTGCTCGAAATCCCGTAAACAATCTGATCTCGGAGGAAAGATTCTTTCAAACCTGCAAAGTTGCACGTCCTTGCTTTCAGTTGCAGGTCTCTAAAAAATTGTTCAAACGGTTCTCCTTGAGCTTGCCGACGCGTGCGAAACACGTAGCGCTCGTACGTTTCGTTACATTTGGGCAGGCAGTATATCTTCAAAAGTCTTGACTAGTACGTCATAGTCGGCTTGCTCCTCTGATGTCAAATTCAGTGTGTTAAACACGTCTATAGCTTCCTGGCCCGCGATATGTAGAAATATGGCGGCCTTCTGTTGCTTACTGCGAGGCTTCGTGGGTTCCGCTGCTAGGAGGTAAAGCTCAATGCGCTGCTTGAACCTTAGCCACGACTCCGCCGCGTTGTCGCCAAGTTGCAGCGGTTCCGGAGGTCGAAGATCTGTCATGATGCCGTGAGCTTTTACCTTTGGACTTCTGACACCATGTAAAGATAGTGCGTTCACGATCAGTGCCAGCAGCAAGAACAACTTCTTTATTTTTAAGCGCGCGCTCCTTTTGTCTCTTCGCGTGCACGCAGTGATCCTCCCGTGCTCTTGGGTCGCGAGCACACCCCACGCGCGGAAGATCGTCAATTGATTGGCCGCAGAGAATAAAGGTCCCTCAGCTAAAGGTCGTGTGAATTGCGTATTAATTACACGTTAAATCCTTCCACCTTCTTTCTGGCCTCTTGTTCCGGAGCGATACTTGTGGTACACTAGGTTTGTAAAAACCTTTGAACTTTTTTTGAAGTACTTCAGCGTCCTGCCGCTCCTCGTCTTCTTCGAAGTGGAACGTGCTATACATGTTCCTTGCCTCCTCTCCAATTGTGATTAAGAAGATTGCCGCTTAATTGTACCTCTTTTGGTTGGTGGTTCAAGAATGTAGCCGTGGAAAAAAGTTTGAACGCACTTTGCCAGACGTCTCCTGAGGGGTCCAGGAGTTTGGGGGCCGGTAATAGCGCCGGCGGCACTTGAGCGATGACTTGCTGGGGTATGGAAACTGCGGGTGTATCTCAAAACGTCCCATTCGCATTTGAACCTTGCACATTTCGACCCATTCTCATTTGGTCCTTCTCGTTTGAACCTTCTCATAAGATCCGAATCGTGTTTTTCGCAACTGGACCCATTCTCATTTCGCCCGTTCGTGCTACGACCGAATGGCACTAGTTCGGCATGGTTCTAACGTCGTTATGCCTTCGCGGCTTTGTTGATGAGCCTTGCCTTGCTTGGGCACCCAACATACCATCAGACATATGTTATGTGTAGAGGTACGCACTGAGAATCGTAAATTGACGCCTGCTTCCCTTCCTCTAAGCAAACGAGAGAAAAAAAGCGATGAACATTTAATTTGGAAACTTTGTCTGAACAGAAATAGCTTACTTAATAGCAGTGGTTCTCAACCATTGATGTTTCGCGGACGCCTTACAGAAAGGCGGAGATGATGCAGGACCCCGTTTTGGGTGAGGGGCATAGAGAGGTATAGGTTATCATGATAATGATTTAATAAATGGATATAACTAATTGCTAGTGTACAGTAGACTTATCTCATTGACATACACACGAGAGTATACTCTCCCGAAAATTAAAACGTTTCTTCTCAACGTAAAAAAAGACAACTAATATTGCCGTGCCTGACTGATGAGACAGGGTTTCGCGGACCCCTCGGATGTCTTCGCAGACCCCCTTTTGAGAACCACTGCATTATAGAAGTGGTGGCAGTGTCCCAAGTCGAGAGGCCTCAAAACAACGTGACATTTCGGAATATGATCGGGCTGCGATAAATAGTGGGTCTGTTTTATTGTCAGCTAGTAGCTTTTCACGGCGACCTCGACGCACTGCTAAAATCCTTAGCAGAGTATGCCTGTAGTGTGACACACACACACAACTTATATCAATATATTAATATTACCCCCCCCCCCCCCCCCCAAGAAAAAAAAAACGATTTTGGTGTAGAAAGAGTCAAGTGGCGACGGGTCAACGCGAGATATTTTTGAGAATGCCTGTTTTGAAAAGGGCGAAACGAGAACGGGCCCAAATGAGGAGAGCTGGAATGCGAAAGACGAAACGGGAAAGGACCAAATGCGACAGGTCCAGAAGAGAAGATCTTTTTGAGAATGGTTGTTTTGAGAAGGGCCAAGTGAGAAGGGCGAAACGAGAACGGGCTCAAATGATAACCACCCGGAAACTGCGGCCCACTTTGCGTCAGGGTTCACGGGTGGTTGTCGTGGCAAGCAGCCCCGCCGACAGAGTACAGCCTGTCGCGGCCATTTCTGACACCATGTACGACTCTCGCGTGCCAAGAGGTGAACAACAAGTTTGTTTGAGGAATTTGAGGAGCCAGTGTTATCAACCGCACAAGGACGATGCGCACAGTGGCGAGGCACTTTTGGTGCTGCTGGATTGGCTCCATTGGATTCTAGCGTCTGATGCGACGAGGCTGAGAGAGAAAAGGAGTATTGGTGACTTTCACCACCTGTTCTTAAACCCACTTTCGCGGCTTCATCTTTAGACCATCGGACGCTGTGAATACCTGAGTCGCTCGAGAATGCTGCCAAGCGAACAACCTGCCGCAACAGCTTTCTGTTCTAATCGCCAGGTGCCGCCGGCTTCGATGAAGTCGCCAATAGATTAAGGAAATACAGAAGGTACCGGATATAAACAATTATGAAGAAGACAAACTCACACACACACGCACAGGAACACAAAGATGCGCGCACACACACGCACAAAAACAAAAAGAAGTGTCTACTAAAAATATCCATTGACGACGCTGCAGTATAAATTAGCGAGAGGGGACAATTGACCAAGATATAATAAAAAAAAACGTATGTAAACGGTATAACTATGTTTTGTGCATTCCAACACGCAGGGTGCTCTTCTCTTGACCAGCTGCGGCCTGACATGGTTGTGCACGAGAGTCACTTTTCGAAGCCATCACGACTTCTGCCCGCAACTTCAAACGGGAGTGCCTAAGCTCTTCAAGATTTACTGAAGGGGCCATGAAACGGAACCTGCCCGTCGAACACCGGTTGACCTTTCTCTTTCCTGTGCGAGTGCCGAGCACCAAAATCGAAAACCCCTTTACAGTTGCCTTTTAAATAGAATCTCCTGTGTTTTATCAGCGGCACTCCACTCGAAAACTGTCGCGAAGAAACGCCACGTGAATTTTCCCGCGAAGTTTGCCGGAAAAATAATCGTCACGTGACGTCAATTTTCGCTAAATTTAGCGGGAAAAGTGACGTCACGCGACCACGTCATTTGACCAAATCAGGTGACGTCCTTATCTCACGTGATGTCAATTTCTGCAAGGTGGTAGTTTGCACATAACGCAATCTGTGCTCCCCGGTCTTGGTCAGCACGATCAAGCTGATGTAGTTTTTTCTTTTGAAAACGCTTTTTATGAATGTTCATACTCTTGTCGACAGCGAAACTTTTGAGAATGATGTGTCACGCATAATTCAGCGGTGTAAAGAGAATAGCTTGCCACTGAACCCTCTGAGCACAAATGTCTTGTCCGTGTGCAGACGTCGAAATGTATTACATATCGATTATGTATTAAACGAAACGTCAATCAAACGCATCTCTGTTGTACGAGATCTTGGCGTGAGCATAATTAATTGACGTTTACTCCGCATGTGTCTTCTATTGTTGCCAGTGCGACAAAGATGTTGGGACTAATATATCGAACCACGAAGCAATTTAAAAACCCTCCCTGCATTGTTCGTTTATTTTGCTCCCTTGCTAGGTCAAGGCTTGAATTCATTGTGTATCTTGGAATTCTTTGTCTGAAACGCAATCAACAAAAATTGAAAGTGTGCGCAAACGCTCACCGCCGCTATCTTCAGCGCCTTTTATTTTGATTGCAGATTTCTTCTAGGTAAGTTCTCGCTGAGGCCATTGCTTGAGAGTACAAAACGCGACGATTTCTTTGCACAAGATAGTAAATGTATAGATAATGATTCGCTTCTATTGAACGTTAATATCCATGTCCCTTTCCGTTTGACTAGGAGTCACTCTACTTGTTATATCAATACTAATGCAGATCTCCACCTTTGCCACGCATGCAATCCCTCTTCAAATGCTTTGACAATCCAGGTATTGAAATATTCAGTGACTTTTCTGTTTACAGCACAGCAAGCATTGCAAAGGATCGCTGCTTATCTATGATGTGTGTTTTATTTCTTTTGCATTAATTTGGCTTTTACTCGTTCTCTGTGCACCAAAGTGAAGATCTCACGTTGTTTTTTGTGCACACGAAAATAAAGATTATTCTTCCTCTTTTTCTTCTGCGTGTTAGCAGTATTACTATTATTTTTTATTATTAGAATAGCCTCGCCATGCCAATTTGAAACGCAGTTTGGGCTCGGCACATGCGCATGGGCGACGACGCAATGTTTAGCTTAGGCAAATATTTTGGGTACGCTGTTCTAAAATTTTATAGTTATATTACTAAAGATAGCCCTATTAAAACTAACCATTAAAGGGGCCCTGTAATCCTGTTTAAGCGCCTACCTTTTTTCCGGTTTCCACGTCTCTTGGGGTTCGGGCAAGCCAGCGGGCACGAAGAGAGTAACGGAATTTCACTGGGCGTCCTATTTTAACCGGACGACGTTTGGGGGGGGGGGGGGGGGGGGGGGATAATTCAAAACGAAGCCTTAAAATAATACAATTTTATACGAGCCAGCATTGTGCAGAAAGGCAAGTGATTTCCTAATAGCCTAGCAACCATCGGAATCTGTTCTTGAGCATGCCTATTTGCTGTTCTACAACATCAGCTTAAGCAATTATTTTTGTTAAGCTTGACCTCGGGACAGCACAGCATCCACTGGGGTTGCGAGGAATCGTTTTGCGACCGTGGCTTCAAGGGTTAGTCACTGTTACCTGCACACAACGGTAAGACGGTATCCGACATAAATGTTTTATGGCCTTTTCACTTGTCCAAAAGAACATCAAGGCAATATTGAGGCTTTATATTCTAATGCAGCCTCTGGCTTTGAGCAAGTACCATGTCGGTTTTCATAACATCGCAAAACGACTGCAATTAAAAAGCTGTATTTTCAACAAACAAAAAAAGAGGAGAAAATGGGGAGGGATTTTACTTGACTTACGGAATGCCAAAAACGATGTCTTGCAGAGTGAAGAGGTCTTAAATGAAGTGATAATAGGAATTTAATACTAAAATCAGCTAAGCAAAGTGATGTATCAAGTGTAAAGTGAAAACGTGCACAACGTGTTGCAGCTGAACAATTTCCCGACTTTGAGGCCCTAGACCTTTCGATAAATGATGCACAAGCAATCGCGAGAGGAACCTTGAATGCGTGCGACGATCTCGCACGACACTCATATCGTTGAATGAGGCGCCCGATTTCTAATGAGAGCCTTCGTGCAAGCGCATTGAGAAAATGCTCTATTCAGACTGTATTAGCGTAAAGCGTATTTATACGCAAAAGAGTATTTACCAAGCTCACCGCAGAATTCGCATCGCTCAACTTCTTGGTTGTCGTCTTTCCGTCTCCCGTTTGCGCGAAGCCTACCTACCTTGATCCACGGGCGATCGATTATCGCCTCTGTAACATGCAACAGAACGCGACACACAGCGCACCGATGCGCCGCCAGCAACGTAGAAGCTGAGAGCACCTGCTGCTCGGCTGTCAGCACATGGGGTCCCTCGCGACGCCGCCAAAGGCGTATACGCAACTGCCAGAGACAGTGAGTGTCGTGGAGGACTCCCGGACCTCGTACCTGATGAGTTTTGGACCCAACATATAAAAAAACGTTGCGATGGTCTGTGGCTACGTTTACATGGATGCGACAGCAGCGCATCGGATCCAGTTAGCGAATCGGATCCACTTCAACCACAACGTTTACATGGATTCAGATCAACCAGTAGCGGCACCTCGTGTCGAAGGATCACAACGCAAACCTCGTGACCTTCAGGTTGTTTCCGAAGTGTCCGGTTTGCCTAGCAGCATGCAAAGATAAGCTCCCGTAATCCCTCGCTCGAGCACTCGATCCGATCCGCTAGCGTATACATGGAGAGTCTCGATCCGGATTGACCATCTCAAACCACCCCGTCCCAGCGGATCGGATCGGATCCGATCCGATCCGATCCGAGTTGTTTACATGGGCTACGTTTACATGGATGCGACAGCAGCGCATCGGATCCAGTTAGCGAATCGGATCCGCTTCAACCACTAAGTTTACATGGATTCGGATCGGCCAGCAGCGGCACCTCGTGTCGAAGGACCACAACGCAAACCTCGTGACCTTCAGATTGTTTTCGAGGTGACCGGTTTGCCTAGCGGCAGGCGATGCAAAGCTCCCGTAATCCCTCGCTCGAGCACTCGATTCAATCCGCTAGCGTATACATGAAGAGTCTCGAATCGGATTGACCATCTCAAACCACCCCGTCCCAGCGGATCGGATCGGATCCGATCCGATCCGATCCGAGTTGTTTACATGGACCGATTCGATTCGTTAACTGGATCCGAAGCGCTGCAGCCGCATCCATGTAAACGTAGCCAATGACCGATTCGATTCGTTAACTGGATCCGATGCGCTGCAGTCGCATCCACGTAAACGTAGCCTGTGAACGCTTGCTTTGGCTCGCCCCGTCCTCGAGCATGAACGTCGGCATCTTCACTAACTTCGGCAGCTCCGGCTACCTGACGACTTCAAAGCTATCTCAATCGCCAAACTGAACCGTGAGAATATTCTGACGTCACTGCAAACCTTATTATTCAACCATCCGTCAGTATACCTCGAACTTCATCGAACTTCCTTCATGGACAAAAACTCCATCGGAAGGTCTCATCACGTGACCGAAGAGGGCATCCGCTCAGCGATAAATTAAGTCAACTTCATTCCTGAGTTTGCTGTCTAGCATAGGTACGCAGTTTTGTTCCACAAAAACTCTGATAAACGCCGAGTTTTCGTCAGACCCCGAAAATGGACACCGAATATCTGGAGAAAATAAAACCCGAAATCACGAAACCTTCCTCATTACCAATGGTTTGGCTGCACGCAAGCACACCAATAGACGTTGCAATTGAGTTGAATTAATTCAAACTGCACCTATCGCCAGGAAAGCAACCGTTCAGTGGCCTTGAGACGAGATTAGGAAATGCCGAGCGCCATTCACAAGCGTGAAAGGCAGCTTAACTGTGCGCACAACTGGACTGTCTTGCGTCAGGTTCCTCGACGGCACCATGAGTATCCAGCTGGATTTCATCAGCGCGACGTGACGGCAGTTTCTCATCCCGTACGGACGCCAGCGACGGCCAATGTGGTAACCATGGCAACCGGCTCTCTCTCTCACGACGGGGCGACAGATACCAATCAATAACAAGGCCGCACAATGCGCAGATTAATGCCTTATCTGTCTCGCCTACTCTCCGAGGCGGGCAGATGTCAACTGCTGTCGTGGACGGAGGCCTCATTGTCTTTTCACCGAACCCTCCAAGAGTATGGATGCCTTTCGGGTTGTAGATTTGCGAAGTGACACGGTCACCCAGCCAACTCTGGAGATGCGACAGGCCATGAAAGACGCCGTCGTTGGGGACGATGTCTTTAAAGAGGATCCCACAGTGAACGGTAATCGTTTGCGCTTCTCAAAAGAGCGTTACAAAAATTGTACCTTGTTATTTTTTTTTCAGAGCTTGAAAGAGTTGTGGCCGAGTTGTTCGGGAAAGAAGCTGCGCTACTGGTACCTACACGGACGATGGGAAACTTGGCTTCAGGTAAGGTAAAATACTTAGGGTTTGAAAGAGAACAGAGGGGGCCTTCCGTCTTCTATTGGTCGCGTGTGCGACCAAAGGCGTGACTGTGGTCGAACTTCCATAATTGACCAAGCCATTACTTGAAGTCTGGAGTTTTATGAATTCTATATTTATTGATGGAGCTAAGAGGGGAATGTCAGATGTCAACGTCGACGGTGTTGGTTTAAGGACGCGACAACTCCAAGCTTCCATCGTGCCTTTTACACAGACTGTCTAAATTGTGGCTTGAAATAGAGATTCCTGGTTGTGACGTCGATTATAGGGACCATAAGAGGGAGCCACCGAAGCATCTCGTCGCTAATAAAAGCAAGCGAAAAAGTCAACTCATCGGAACACCTGAAACGTGTAAACGACAAATGTGACTGCGCAAAATGTCGACTGCTGCTAGCATGTGCACTATTTTTTTTTCGACATTCTTAGCACTCCTCCTTGGCCGGAGGTCGTAATGGTACAGACCCGGATCCAGTCTGCGATTGCCACTCTTGAAGCTATTCCAACTGCAGAAGGATACTCAACCCTTCCGAGCATAAGCGAGAATGTTTCATGTGACACTAATTTTCCCGGCACACCTCGCGCAAAAGCAACTTGACGTGGCTCGCGTCCACTCCTGCAGGGAAGCGGATTTTCCCCCAATGAAAACAGGGGTAAAAGAGAAGCTTTTCCCGCCATTCTTCATACAGTCTACCGCGGATCACAGATTTCCACCTATTGCAAAGGATCTTTCAACCTCGAAGCTGCAAAAAAGTAATCTCCATCGCTAACGACCTGGAAAGCCGCTTCGCGGCTTTTCGGGTCGTCGTCTGCTTTCATGTCGGTGACACCCACAATTCGAAAATTTAAAGGGGCGGTGCAACGATTTTATGATTAAAAGAATTTGCATCTCGTCATTTTTACGTTGTTTATCGTGTCCCGGAGGATAGAGAAAACATTTCCTTCATTAAAAATGTCGCGATTCCGCTGCATAATCGCAAAGCAAAAGTCGAGCTTTTTCCCCCACCTGCAGCCCCAAGTGGCAGCCGAAGGAACTACTGCGGAAAGATTACGTGACCTCGCTCGGCTCTAAGCTGCAGCATAGCGCCCGCTAATGTACGCAGAGAGAGGGAGGGGAAGCGTCCTCCGAGATAGCACAAGGGAAGCTACACGGAACTCCGAATGACGTCACTGGGAGTGCGACCAGGTGTGACCCTGAAGACTGGGAGTGAGTTGAGGGGTGCCCGAAATACCAATCTTTATCTTTTTTTTACGCAAAAACTAGGACACGCAGGCGAAATCGGTTTTCTGTTCTTTACTTCAGAAGTGTCAGGGGGCAACTTCCAGAAATCTTTGACCGAAGTCCGAAAATCGTTGCACCGCCCCTTTAATAGCTTCACGGAAAAATTGTAGTGTTATAAAATATTTTCGCTAACAGATAAGAAAGGGTTATTACGCAAATGTGCCAATTTCCAGTCTAATCAAATGGCGAATTTCGGTGATCGCATCTCTCTCCTCTGACCTTGAGTCCATACAGCGCTTCCTCCTTGCCGCCAGAGCTGCTCAGGGTCCTTTTCAACCGATCTCAGCTGCTGGGCTCAGAGCGCTCCGAGATTCTCGGGCCAGACACGAAACTACTTATCGATATTGGCGATGGATAAAAACCAATTTCAACAGCGCACGCTCGATGATTGAGTAAAATTTACACGTTCAACGTCATAAAGTGGCTGGCTTTGGTGGGCTAGACCGTTTTTCGTAACAATGTAATGGTAACAAAAAACAAAACAAAAACAAAAACATTAAAGGGATCTGCAGAACGGAGCAAACGCCAATGTCTGGAAGTGTGTTTCAACTCATCGCATTTTCGACAGTGAACATGATGTGAAAGCAGTCCTGCAAAACGATATCGATGAACCAAGGGTTAAGGCGCAAAATAGCTGGCGGTAGTTGAAGACAGTAAAAAAACACCCCGAGACTGGAAAAAAGAAGGGGCGGACAAACGCAGGTCTCAAGCACAGGTGATCTTTTTGACAATAATTGGTGTTTATATAGCCTTCAAGCACAAACTATTGTTAAATAAACTCAGCGGTGTTTGAGGCCTGCGTTTGTCCGTCCTTTCTTTTTCCCAGTCTTGATATCGGTGATGCGTACGGCAGAACGGGCAAATAACAAGTGCTAAATAAATCGCAGTTTCCTCTCGGTGGAACGTAGTGAAAGCATCACCCCCAGGACATAACACGCATCGCCATGTGAGAGGAAGCACGGAATTAGAGCCGGACCTCCTTTCATATCACAATACAAATCTTGGAACCCACTTTTACCAAACCTGAAAATTCCTCGAAGAGTTCACAAAATCCGATAAGGCAGCCGGGATCTCTGCGTGCTCTTGCTTCGTCGGTTAGGCTTAGTGGCCACCTTGAGACGAAGGGTCTCATAAAAGTTAGAAACTAGAAATACTTTTCACGCCGATTTTCGGACCCTACCACAAGCGAATTTCGTCCCGTCCTGTTATGCAAACACCATCGAACGCACAAGCACTTTGTAGAACCAGATTTTCACCGCCGTCTTGCCGCACCCAGCATGCGCCTCATGCCACTGTTGCCGCCATTGCCGCCATTGTCAACAAAACCACGTCACCAGCGTCCAGGTACCACGTGACGCCTGCGCCGCTTCGCGCTCCGACGGCTAAAGTGCGCTATAAAAAACACACAAAAAAAGAACAAAAACAGTTGATTATTGCATTTTCTTTCCACCACCCGATTTCGCACGCACTGAAAACAGTGCTCGAGAGCAGAGATGGCAGTAATGACATTACTGTAATGGAATTACAGTAATTAAATTACTTTTTGGTTTTTGGAGTAAGGAGTTATGTAATGAATTACTTCTCTAGGCTAGTAATTTAGTAATGTAATGAATTACTTGCAGGCAGTAATTTTGAGAAAATTACTTATTACTTTTGAAATTACTTTCGTCGTAAATTAGAAAATTCGTTTGGAAGCTTTAAGAAAGTAGAGAAAATTTATTTTTCATGGTGAAATGTTGTGAAAGAGCATCAGAGGAGATAATCGACGGCCAACTGAGCTCAAAGCCTTCTACGACGAGCTGGACAGACGCACAAAGAAGGGCTGGAAAGGCGAAGGAGAAAAGCTTCCGTGTAGACATCCTTGGAAGGCAACGGCTCACGAACTCCAGGCATGACAGATTCACGACGTCGCGTCATCACGACGATACTATGCTTCGTTCATCCCTAAGCTGACAGTGCTGTGGGAGCTGCAAGCTAACCAGAACCAACCAAACACCTTATTTTAATCACGTGTCCCGTCCCTTTCTCTGCGTGTGGGTATGAACGAGAGCGTGCCGTGCTTTAGGTGATGCTGTGCTGCTTCCTAAATTGTTCTGGCGTAGACGTGCACTTTCACGGAGCACAGGGGTTGCAGTTGGTATTGAATCCGCTTGCCTGTCGCACGTTTCGTCGACACAAGTTTAATCAACACTCGGTACGCGAATTGCAAGCTGTATGGACATTTCCTCGCGCGTGTTACCTAGCCAGTCCACCCGTTGACGCCGCTTTGCGACGAGTCTGCAGCGGCTCATTACCAGAATTACGTGGCGAACGATAGACGTGTGACTACTCCAAGAAAAACGTAGCTTCCACCGTTCATTCCTAATCTGACAGTGTGTCAGTTTAGGTATGAACGGCTCATTGGCTGCAAGGCAACGGGCACATCACCAGTGAGTTAAACATAATTTAAAACACGAGATGACAGGACAAGCAGATCCCCAGCCTTGTACTTTCGTCAAGCAAGGTCAAGCCGTAAGCTTGAACCATTGTGAACAACAAACGACAGGAATAAATAGTTAATTGCAAATGCCTTGTCCAAGCCCCACAACGTTCTGTGCGTTCTCGAGGAAAGCATGGTGCCGCTCGCGGTACGCCCCGCTGCCTTCCCTTGGGAAGTTTATTCGAGAATAAGCATACAAGCAAATATCGTCCACCGTTTGTTGGTAAAGTACACAAGTTAGGAAGCTGGTGCCATTCCTCAACTGGCGACGCTTCTGCTTTGCAATTATCCGGGCCCTTTGTGTTACAATGCGCAAAAACTTGGACTCTTGGTATGTTTCGGAAAAAGACTCCTTGAAAGTAATGATCGAGAATAGGTAACTATACCCAGAGACAACCTTTCTTGGAAATGCAGTGGAGGGTACAGACACGCGTTCCCTCTCCCATTTCGAGCACTCAATAAAGCCAAATACCTTACTAGGGTAATAAAGCTGTGCGCGGGCTCTCCTCCTCTCCACTGCATTGCCAAGAAAAGTTATCGCCGAGTATAGTGCTCTCGGGAGGATAGAATTAGATTGCGTCCGAGCCGGAAGGGAAACGTTTCACGTGACGGCTCCTTGTAAGAACGACCTGCCATTGCCCGACTTAACAAACTGACACGGACTATAACTTCTTCGAAAACAGGAAGACGGGAACGTCACTTTTTTTAGTGAGGACATTCACCGTTGAATGAGCAGCGAAACCGGTGAGTCGACAGTCTTTCTGAGTCACGTCTAAAGAAGCTATTCATCATGGTTAACACTTATGTTATGTGCGCCAGCAAAACCGCTCTTCAGTATGGTTAATTTTGGGGCACATAAGGTTGTTGCAGTGTAAACAGAAAGATCTCAGTTTTGGTACAATAGACCAAATCAGCTCTTTGACGTCACATCAATGCGGGGGCGCTGCTGTCGACACTGCGCATGCGCAGCGAGTCGCTTTTCCCGGATCTGGTTCCTGCACACGCGCTGTGAGGGCAAACGAGGGCTTGTCTTGTTAAACACTGTATTGGTGTATACGGTAAATAAAATGAGCGCGAATTGCTTCCTCAAGGTATTCAAAAGTAACCTCAAATTAATTTCAAAGTAATTTCATTACTTTTGGAAAGTAATTGTAATGTAATGTCATTTCCCTTTGTCATCGGTAATTTGTAATGTAATTTAATTAAATTTTTGGTTTTCAGAAAAGAAATTAGTAATGTAACTTAATTACTTTTCGAAAGTGATTTCGCCATCTCTGCTCGAGAGCGCACAGAAAGCACCACTTGTATTCGCCAAAGGCGTATAAAAATTCGGGTTCCCCTTTATCAGAGCGAGCGGTGGAGAAAAAGCTAGGTTAAAAAAAAAAAAAGGAATATAAAGCTTCAGAGTTTTTTTGTCCTTTTTTTCTTGCCTCAAAAATAGAATGAGTAGTATTACGCTTACGCCCGAATTCAGACTCCGCGCAAATCGCTAGCGGCCCGGACCAAACGCCAGCTTGGCGTTATCATATTCAGAAGTCACAAGTGATTTTCTGAAACTTTAAACGATAAAATGGGCCGCGTTCTGGGTAGCACTATTGATCTCTATGTGTTCGTGGGCTTTGAGGGCCACGAATTTCCCATTAGAAGTTTCTGAAAATGAATTATAACTTACGAATCAGATAGCGGCAAGCTTTGAAATTTAAGCTTGGGTTCGGACAGCTTGGACTATTTATTTAGGCGAAAATTGAGCATATGGCTGAGCATATGGCTGAGTATATGGCTGAGCATATGGCTGAGATTTTGGCTATGCATAGGGTAATTTTGCGGTGAAAAACTTTACTTTTTTTTTGGGGGGGGGGGGGGGGAGCGGACTTTTATTTATATTTTTATATTTTTGCCAATGTTACACAGTCAAACTCCACGATACACAACCTTCACTTTTATCTATTTTTTATTGGCTTGGCACAATTTTTTTTTACGCGAAACTAGAAGGGCGTTATTCAACGAAGCATGTGCCTGTATCATCCTTTGAGGAAAAAAAAAAAAAAAAAAAACAAGGAGGTAGAGTTCTGCATTCCCATTTAAGAATTCCTCATATCGTTTATTTTGCGCGTTTTCGCAGCCATCATCGTTGGCACTAGTAAAATACAAATTGCATAAGGAGTTTCCAGAAACTTCAGTTATTGCAAACAAGCGTACACCCCATTGGTGGTTAATATACGGCAAAAAACACACAAAAAAATACGCAGGATCAGGGGGTCCGAAATTGTTCGTCGGCTCGTGAGATTTTTTTTTTTTTTTTTATAAGATGAACATAGTGACTTTGAAATGTATTCTTAAGCGTAATGGTATGAAAGCGGGTCACTCGCGACATTTACTCCTTTTTCACATCAATGCTAACAAGTTGTGACGGTCTTACACTTATACCCTGTTTGCAGTAATGACCCACTGCACCAAGAGAGGTCAAGAGATCCTTGTCGGAGACTCATCGCACATTTTCCGGAAAGAACACGAAAGCGTTACCAAGGTAACATCTCAATTTTTATTTTAATTCTTATAGGGCGGTTTTACATGACGTACTTCCGGTTTGAACTCTCGCGCTAAATATAATTTAATATATTACATTATATGTCAATATGATTTGGCGGGCTGCTAAATATAATTAGCAGCCCGCCAAATTTAATAAAAAATCGACCTGAGATGTGATCTTGACGCTTTCATGAAAAAAAAAAAAAAACGCAAAATGGCTCAACATGTTTAATTTCATCAAGACCGATTCAGAATAGGCACACAGACATGGACAACGAAATAATGTGAAAAGACGGTGAGAGTGCAGGCGAGCTGGTGGTAGCTAATCATGTCGTATTACACCTGAGACTGCGGTGGAAGAAATCGGAAGAACTTTCGGTAGAAGGCAAAAGTCACGGAAGAGTAGCCGACAGTCAGGAAAAACGCTCATTGCAACCGCGGCCGATTTTTTACTCCATAATCAAAAAAAAGAAAAAAAGAAAAAGAAATCCGCACCCGCGGCGTTTAGCCTTTTTCTCGGTAAAATATTTCCTACAAAATAAATTTATTTGTTCAGAATTAAAAATTCGACCTATTTTGCTTGCACGTTTTGACATGATACTCCCAGATGTATTTTTATGAGGTTCCAGATGTCGTTACAATAATGCTGTCGGTAGCAGAGAGGACAAGACAAATGGAAGAAAATAGAACGGTGTGTGAAGGCCGGCTGAGTACTGTGGGCCTGGCGCGAGCTGGTTTGGCACGCCACTGTTTCGTACTCGTCTTCGTTTTCCTCACAATATATCCGTACCTTTGTTATTCCAGAACCTTAGCGACTAGTGCCTATCTATTCTCCAGATGGCAGAGAGAAGAGTTCGACTTTCTTGTGGCCGATTTGTACATGATCTAAAGAGAATGTTTGAAGTAGCAAACGGGAGAACCTCGGATAACTGCAAGTCGGGTTTTTATAGCAATATTAGATCTAGAAATTTTAAGTATAGCGTGTTGGCTGTGTAATAAACGGTGCGTCGTGTTTTGAGGTTGTACTCAAATTCAAGACATCTAAGAATAATTAATCAACGCTAGCTGAACTTTTTTTTTATCTTCGCCACTTTTTTGTTTATTTCCGTATATGCAATAAATCATTTGTCGACTGAACTTCTTTATGGATTGGTAGCAAGAATGCAATAATCGCGTACTCAGAATGTCTTGAGCTGTATAATTAAGAGCGGCTCAAAAACATAGAAGCTTTCAGCAGCCACATTTAATTGGATGGAAAAGACGAAAGCCCGCCAATACGTTGAGCAGAAGAAATATAAAAAAGCATAAATAAGCCACGCCTTCTTGGTAAAATGTTTCATCTTCCAGGCTTGAACCAGGAGAAAGTTGAATGCGAGACGTGTTTTGGCTAAACGTATCGCAGAACGAGTAGATTCCAGCGCTCAACTAGCGCTGCTCGTTGCATGACTGATCAGACGCTACAGTCAAGTTTCTGTAATTGTATAAACAAAAAAAAAAAAGGAAATTCGCAAGAAATTCGATATTATAATTTAGCAGCTTTTAAGGCGGTTTCATGAAAGAGCAAGGAATCAGCCATTCTGAGCTTCATCGGTTCTCTGACAAACATCATATAAAGGCTTGTCTGCACTTCCTACCAACTTCTTAAAATCAGCCTGGTTGTTTCTCTGTTGGTATCACCATGCTGGTGGCCTGCATTGCAATGCAGGCCACCAGTACTGAAGAGGCATTGCCTCTTCAGTACTGATAACAGGCAAGGCTCGAAAGTACGCTCTTATCTAAATTGCGAGCACTACTATGATCAGTGTCTGGGTCGACATGGGTGCGATAGTGGCGCATTAAATCGAACATGGACAAGTCACACACAACCTCTCTCCCTGTTTCTTTCTCTCCTACACACTTACTACCAATCAAAATAGTCAAATCTCGATTCGATGCGCTATGGTCGCATCCAAGTAAACGCAACCACTGGCAGCGTAAGTTAAGCCGGGCTGTAGTGATTTCGCGTCGTTTGCGTCGTCGTTCTTATCAGATAATGCTGAAGTCTCATTAGAAGTTCGGGGATAATAAAAGTTTAGAGAAATCGCCATGCCCGACGTTTCTTAAGCTATCACTGACTGTACGGACCGCAAGTTCGTCTTCTTCTTTTGCAGGGGTTGTGGTGACGTCAAAATGCCGAGCTGTGATTGGCTCTGATTGAAGGATAGTGGGTAGATTTCAAGGCGGCTTGCCTAGAGGTCTACTCCCTATCCTTCAATCAGAGCCACTCAGAGCTCGGCGTTGTGACGTCCCGAGAACAACTGCAAAAGAGGCAGACGAACTTGAACTCCGCATAGAAAACGTATGTGTTATCGTACAATAAACCATGCTTACATCTTGACTGAGTTCTGGTGCTTTAAATTCCTCGTGTCCGAAGTAAAAAAAAAATGTTTGAAAAAGTGCAGGTCCCTAATTTATGAGTAATGTTGACAACAAGATGTACGGAAATGCATTTTTACTCCGTAAATATATGTATTTCAACACGTCCAAAACGACGTTGCAGATGTTGCGGAGTTTACACTGTACGCAGCTTGTTTCAGATTGCGGGGATGCAGACTTGGGCGGTACCAACTGAGGCCAACGGCTCGCTTCGCATCGAAGACCTGCTATCCAGAGTGCGGCAAAGCGAGCTTCAACAACGTCCCCTACCTTCCTTGCTTTGCCTGGAGAACACGCACAATGTCTGCGGTGGCACGGTCCTCCCCATCGAGTATCTCAACAAGGTTCTTTTTGGAACCCCCTCTTTCGGGCATCTAATAGGGAACACTCGCCTTTACCGTGTTCGGTTGCAGGTTAAGAAACCAGGACAATATCCACTTTTTTTTCTTTAGCAGGATCACAGCCTCCTTCATACTAGAAAGCCTGAAAGAATCTGAAAAAAGGCAGTAACGGAAAAAAAGATAAAGGAGAGGCGGAGAAAGAGGATGCCCAAAGCATCCTGGAGGGGATCTCTTGGTGGCGCTATCACAGCGCAAGCGGTAAAGAAAAAAAAAAAGAGCTTTTGTTATTTATTTATTTATTATTTTTTTTTTGTGGGGGGGGGGGGGGGGGGGTATGACGTTAGCTTATACCTTTCTCGAAGAATGGTTGTTTGGGCGAGTTGGTTTGACATCTTATACAATCTTGTGCGCAACAAAGACGAGGACAAAAGCAGAGAAGAGGACAGAACAAGGCGCCTTGTTGTGTCCTCTTCTCTGCTTTTGTCCTCGTCTTTGTTGCGCACAAGATTGTATAAGTTATACCTTTCTCCTCTTCCTCTGTGCCGCCACCACCTGCAGGACTTTTTTTTTGTGTGGGAATGCGAAAGCATGATGGACGCATTATAGGCTCAGCTTTAGTCAGGCGGAACCGTGCAGCCGCCGCGGCGTCGGAGAAGCGTACTCGTCTCGCACCTCGACCGAAATGTATGAAATTTTATTTTCAAACTATTAGTTCACTTTGTTTACAAAAACCTCCCTGAGAAATTTTTGACGTGTGTTTACTCTATGCGCTGTGCCGCCAACAGTTCGGCTGGCTCCTTAGCAACGATGACGCCGTTGCTATAGGGCCACAGGACGCGTCGCAGCCAATTGAAATCTGGGTACCGTTTGCCGGCTTCACTCTGAGACAAGTAATGCTTACGCATTAAGAAAAATACAAATATGATTTGGCGAGAGGCCGCTGGGTCCGATGTCGCCCCATGCGCAACCGTTGCGTTCGCCGTTCTGCCGCTAATCCTCTCACTTTTCCGACGACCGGGCGGCGGGCGCTTTGTTATTTCCGTCAACAATTCGACGGGCTTTCCAGTGTGTAGGAAGCTAGGGCAGAGCGAACACGGGGGTGCGGGCGAGTCTCTCCTCACCCCCTATCTCGGTTTAAGCGGAATGAAACGCATTTTCTCAGCGGCGTTGTTTCTGCATGAATGGATGTAGACCTTGATTAAAAGCAAAATAATAATAATGTTGTCGAAATTGCTGCGCAGACTGTCGCTTCTATCCGATAACAATTTGAATTGTTTTGTACTGCGTAAACGTTCCTCTAATCAACTGCCTAAGAATTCCCGTGAAAAAAAAAAAGCGCTTCGTCTGTATTTATGAATCATATTACACTTAAAACCAATTTATGTAATTTTCTGATCTGTCTTTCATAGTAATTAATCCCGAGAGAAATGAATAATTAAAAACAAAACGGACAGGACAACGAAGTCTATCTTCAATAGCTGCCTTCTCGCAAACCGGCCTCCCATACGACCATCCAACTATACTTTCCTTAACGAATTATTGCAATTAAATCGTTTCTTTCTTTCAATATTGAAATAAACAGAATGAAACACTTGGTAAGGGGACTTGCCGTTCAGAAGCTTGCATGTAATAACACATTCGACGGCCGCATTCCATCCCTGTACTCATAACTGAGTAGGCATATAACAGATGTCGTTTCGTTGGTTACAAACCGGGCCATGGGCGCGATAATGCCGTAGGGTTCGCTCAAAAATATTTTTCATGGTGAACAATACTTGCTCCATCCGCAGGCATCACAGTTCAGCAAACACAGCAAAATCCCTATTCACATGGACGGAGCGAGACTCATGAATGCTGCCACCTACCTCGACCAACCGGTAGCCGAGATTGTCAAGGGGTGCGACTCGGTCATGATGTGCCTAACTAAGGTAAGGTTCACGTCAGGTCATCGTGATAAGAACCGAATAGGAGACATTAATTTCGGGTTGCAATGATCAAGCGTGTTCTCCGTGTCGCATGACCTGGATGAAAAAAAAAAAAAAAGAAATCTTAAAAGGAGAAGAGTGGACAGACGCTCTTTGTTGAAAAGGACACAATTAAGTGCAATATCGAAAACAGTAAAGAGAGAAAAGCGGAAAAAAAAAACATGAGGAATTTGTCAAACTACTTACCTTTTACGATGACAGCTTGATGTTTTTTTGTGCTTTTTGCTTTCCAAGTTGTTTTAAGCCTCTTGGGAGGAATTTATTAAAAAAACGCACGTTTGTATAACGTGCGGTCGTTAATATTCAACCGAATTGTGACCGAAGCTTAGCAAATATGTGAGCAACTAGAAATGACGGCCTACTTACTCGAACAAAGTGCGCCTGTTCCGTCTTTTAGGAAAAGTCGGCTCTCATTGACAGCTTTTAGGTGATTTTCATATCAACTGTATTAATGAACAAGTCTTCACCAAGAAAGTCGTTAACGTAGAAAAATGTTTGAACAGCAGTAGAGGCTTTAATACACGACGTTTCGGGAAGAGACTTCCCTTCTTCCAGTGTCATTTTTGTTGAAGAAGGGAAGTCTCTTCCCGAAACGTCGTGTATTAAAGCCTCTACTGGTGTTCAAACATTTTTCTTGATTTTCATATATGAAGTCTTCCTGGATATTATCCAGGTATTTTTTATTATCTAAAGGAAGCGGGACATATCTTCGATGTCAAGTAGAAGGCACTCTTGCGAGACCCTTCTGCGTTTGCATAAGACTTCGGTTTTCGTCTGCTCAGTCGGCAGCGAGACGCCATTGAATAAGGTGGAGCGCTGTGCGATCGTCGGATTTACAATGACTGAGCGAGTTGATAAGTGAGTTTTGCTTCAACCATCAATGTTCATCGGCTGATATATGGTTCGAATTATTCAGAACGCTTTCGGAAATGTTTCGACGAGTGATGCCCATTTAAAACTCTGGTACGGCTGAAGGATGCAGTAAAAAGAAGACGGGAGTTTGGGGCAGCTGGCGACTGACAGCATCGCTACGACAATGCGCATGCCCATTCGACACGTCTGCTAAAGAGGTTTCTGGCAAAACAATGCGTCACCGAGGTGTGCAAACCCCTCTAAAACCCAAACATGACTCCCTGTGACACTTAGCATTTCCCAAAACAAAAATGGCACTTGAAAGGCAGATGATTGGAGACCGCTGACGAGATGAAACAGAAAACAACAAGGCAGATGATGCCGACCCTGAATGACAGCTTTGCATGATGTTACGTGCAGTTGAAGGAACGCTGGCATAAGTATGTGAACTTTTGAGGGGAGTACATTCAAGGAGATTAAGGCGTCATTGTCTTATAGCGCCTACACTTTATAGGACAATATATACTTTCCAGACATACGTATATTTTGAGACAATTAAATTGCTTGCTTGTTTGTATTTTGGAGCTACAGTGTACACAGTGTGATATGCGACTATTAACCAGCTTGATCAGTGTACAAATGCATGCAGAGAGTTACATACCACCAGAGTTACCTTGCCAAACAAGGTAATAAAAACATTTTGCCATACAACATAACACAGGAATTTTTTCCCCTCTATGAAGTTGTTTTTCACCCAACGCCACTCTTAGTACCTTACTGCGGGTTATCTTTGTGCAGGGACTGGCTTGCCCCGGTGGTTCTGTTGTTGCTGGTTCCAAGGAATATGTGCAAGGGTGACTAATATTTTATTAAAAGTAATATGACCTATAATGTCCCTTCCAATTTGCCAATTGCACCGAAGTTGAAAAAAACTCTTTGTGCATGTTACGTAACTTTTCCGGAAAACCTCTACAATGCAGCAGCTTTTAATTTTTCAGATTTTCTGAAGTGATATACCGTATCCAATATTCCTTTTGATAAATGTGTCACGCCACCGAAATACGTGGGGAGATTGTTTTTTCTCTATTGAAATGTCCGCATATGCTTAAGAATATCAATTTTATGTTAATTTGTCTCAGCTTCGTTCTTTGTTGGCGAATGCTGCCCACAGGCAACAAACGAAATAATATTTTTTGTGCGTTTAATAGTTCCGGTCTTATCTTTTTTTTAAAATCGAGTACTCTGGCAATAGTCTCGAAGATCTAAACTACAGCGTCATCTAGTGCGAAAATATGCAATAGTGACGAGAAAAAATAATTTTGGTGCACAAATACGCCGCGACCGAGAACGGTGAAATGGCGAAAAATATAAATAAGTGTTTTTTTCTTGCCACTAATCCTTGACGACACGTGACCATTCTACTTGAGGCTATCGCATGCACAGATATTATTGACATTTTATGGTGATCCTTATAGGTTACCGAAGGGAGCCACCTTCGGGCTTTGGCCTGGTGTTGCCCACAAGCAACTCCAGTTTATCTTACGATTTTTTTTAGTTCAGCTATGTTCTTTTAATTGATCTTGTTGAATATTCATATGTTTAAAAAATGTTTTCAGCCATTTTTGTATATTTTGTCAATAAGGGGCTAATCAAAAGGCGTTTTGAACCCATCATCTGCATTTAAAAGTTTAGTGTATGGTTCAACAATTGACTAAAAGCTTCTCGAGAATTGGATTTTAAGAAGCCACCTCAAAACAAGGTTCTGTCATTTTATGACGGTGTGTTATTATTGCTAAAAACTTAATTCGTGTTTCATATTGTCATTAAAAATAAATAACAATAAATTTAATATTACAAAGAAAGGAGCACATTCCCAGACAAGCAACAGTATGGCTGCACATGACTGCTCTTCTCGCTGTAACTTTTTTTCTCTCAGTCATCAAAGGTGTGACGGGTTTACCGTACAGTACAGTGAACAGGTGACATTTACGAAAGGTTGAATAAAACGCAGCTGTCTCTCGATGCCTTCAGCCACGTTCTATTGACCAAAGTCACAGGCTGGTCTAAAGAGGCATCCTACCGCGGAGACCAATATTGCATAAATTTTCAACGAGTCTCATTGATTACATATTATAGCACTATGCCTTGAACGCAAATAAATATCTACGTTGTGAAAAAAATAAACAGGTAAAAGTGGACCCGTTTTTTTAATGTCGCTGCCATGTAAAGGTTTAATTAAACAAGACGAAGCTGTTCGGAAGTTCAACATGGTTACCCGTACTCATATGAGCCCTTGTTCCTTGAAAAGAACAGCGGGGAGAGAATGAACCTGTAAACAAACCGTGGGACACTGATGATGGTCCCGATCCCAGAACTGATGAATCAGACTCGTGCTTCTTCATGAATTGCGCTAATTCACGGCAGTCAGAATCATCTACGTTCTGGTTAACCTCTCTGTTCTTCCGAAATAAGCCTCCCTTTTTCTCTCCGTGTCCGCGAAACCGCCAGCGAAATGTGAAATGGTGCTTTCGATTTTTGACTGATTCGTTCGAACCGTCTAAGGTGTGGGATGAACAACGATGCCCGTTTTTCACAGCGGAGCTGTTAAGGGCTAGGTTCCCCAGGATCATGTCCGTGTGTGTCGACACAAACCTACCTGGACAGCTACCGCTATCTATAAGCGACGGCGGCAAGCACACAACCAGTGTGGTTTCCGCCGTCACTCGTAGATGGCGGCAACCTTTCCAGCTATAATACTTGGGCGCGTTGGTGGGAACTCATCGTAGGAAACAGCGCGAAAAACAGACGACGACGAAGAAGCACACAGTGTATCAAGTACAGCTCCGCTGGTCTTCCTTCTTCACGAGAGTGAAAAGGCTGAACGATTTCGGTAGGATTTTCGTACTGATGTTATATCTAGAAGAATGGATATGTGAAGTAGGGTTGTATATTGGACCATTTGGTAGCTCTTAAACATTATAAAAAAAAAACAGCCTCAGTAAACACGGACGACGAGGAGGAAACGAACACGACAGGCCAATGGCTGAGTCGCAACTGGAGTTTAATTATTCTATGAAAAGGAAACAAAAAAAATTTCTTAAACGTATTACACAGACAGAGATTAAAACGTACGCCTATAGTAGACACCAAGAGACCGCCGAGGTATGGTGGCCCCTTGCCTATCAATGTTCAAGAAGTCTGTTTTGTTTCCTTTTCATAGAATAAACTTCAGTAGTGAGTCAGAGGTTTTCCTATCGTGTTCGTCGTCCGTGTTTACTCAGGTTGTTTTTTATAATGATCATTTTTTTACGCTAGTTATTCATCGTCACATAGGTGTCAGTCAGTCGTGCTTCTAGCGTGATAAGGTTGTGCTAATATTTTTATTGAGATGTTTCGTAAAGTAAAAAGCTAAGGTAACGATTACTCTATTATATATCCTGTCGTATTAGGGGGATCACAAAGTATGGGCAGCCTCGATTTTGGTACTAAAGATCATACCTATGGTTTATTTCTTAGAATTGTCTAAATTGAAGCAAAATTGCAACATTCAATCATAAGAATGTTTGGGACGGATCAATACCTGTTCATGTTAAACTAATTGGATATTTTTACTTTTGCCAACTCAAGGGCAGGGTTGGGCAGTATCGCGATACAAATGTATCGCGATAGTATGTCAGAAATACATTTCGTATCTGTATTTCTGTAACGCGATACATTTTTTTTCACCAGTATCTGTATTCCTGTATCGAAATACATTTTGGATGTTCTTTTGTATCGCGATACAATCAGGATGAAATGTATTTCGTTACATTTCTGGAGAAATACTCTCCCCCCCCCCCACCCCCCCCCCCTCAAGAAAAAAAAAAGAAACAAGTCTGAACGCATTTTTTTTTTTTTTTTACTTCTAAGGGCACCAGAGTCAAGAAGATGCTGGGGTATTGTTACTATGCTGACCAAGGTTCCTTTTGATTCTGCAAACTATTTTTCTGTACGTCCTCTTCACTCTTCTGAGAAGTGTTGCGTAGTGGGGGCTCGAACCAGGTGGCGTGCCAGGAGTGGAGTCAGAGCATCTTCTGTTGCAGGTCCTTAGGTAGGGATTTCTTGAGTCATTGTTTCCTGACATCCAATGCCCGCTGATAACCGTCTCTCTTGGCTTAGCGTACACAGTACACACAGCCGGCAAGGCTGAGTCACACACAGTCTGTTGCAGCACGAGCCCGGCGGTGGTTGACTTGAAATAGTAGGAAGACTCACGCTGTGAAGTTCAACACATATTCGAATGCATCTGCGGCTACGCCCGTAACATTCCACGGCTCAAGGGTACATCATCAGCCGACGTGAACGTGACCCGCTGCTCTGGTGATCCGAAACCCAGAAGGAGGCCAGAAGTGACCTCGCTGTGCCATCCCAGACTACGTATCTCCCGCGACTCGTCTAGAGACCGCTGTTTCTCGGACAGCTCGCACCTGTGCCGGCAATATTAGCTCGCAATCCATGAGGTCTCTGTTTGGATAATGCTAGGCAAAACTTGGACTGCAATCCGTGCGTCGGTGGCGGAGGGTCGGTAGTAAGGACCTTCAGAACAGGGATGCTACCGTATCGTTTTTTCAACTGTAAAACAGAAGATAAGACATGTATTCCAAGATGCTTCAGGTGGTCCACTATTCTCAAAAATTCCAAATGACACTGCATGCACGATCTTCAGCTAGGTAGCCTACAACGCAAGTACGCATTGTCCTTTCATACAGCAGCGTGGTAAAGTTTCACGTTCAAGGCTACACCTACAGATGAAGAATTCTAGTTCATTCCACCGTGACATAATGTGATCAATGTTGACAAGATTCCGTCGTCACACAGACAGGATGTCATGGAAGGGACCGCGGTCAGCAATTGTTGGAACGTTTTTTTGGGCCTTTTGAAGACTCTTTGTCGTCCGAAACCACTACCTTCAAGACAAAGTGCCAAGCCTATAAAGAAGTAATTTCGAGATCGAAAACATCCACTTCAAACTTCAAGCTTCATCTCAGTTGGCGTCTCAAAAAATTTGGAAAATGTATTGCCGTATCAGTATTTCTGTATTTGTATTTCTGCCCTCCTTAAAATGTATTCCTGTATTTGTATTTCCAAATACTTTTTGCCTATATTTAAAATGTATTTCCGATACGTATCGCGATACATGTTTACAGATGTATCTTAGTATCAGTATTTTAGCTACTATTTCAATGTATCCCAGTATTTGTATTTCCAAATACATTTTTGAGTATTTCTGCCCAACCCTGCTCAAGGGTGTCAATTATCTCTTTCCTTCTGGAGATATTGCTCGAGTCTATGTTTATTTTCGAGTCAACAGATAAACATAATTCTACTGATTTCGACAGGGACACAAATGACTCGGTAGAAGACAGAGTGAGTTGCATGAATCAGGTAAAATCAAGCCGCCTTCACATAACTGCTGTAGATCGTATTGCCTAAGGAACACACATCTCAGCTAAATTGCACTCATTTGGTTTCCTTATCACCTTATCCACAATGAATTCGACTGTTAAAGCAGCCAAAAACTTCAGTCCTGGGAGCAGTGCTTTTTATAGTGGGGCAATATTTGAATTGGATGAGACGAGCCATCGAGTATTATATCTTCAGTGTAATGAAGTCTAATCAGAATCGCAGCTCCAAGCGATGCCAAAATAGAATCCGCATATGTGTGAAATGCTTGCCTTCATGAAAAGTCAGCACCAAGTTTAACACATTCCCCCACCATTCTCTTGATTCGTTTCCGGGGTGATGGCGTAGTGGGTCATCCAGATATAAAGCATATTTTCAAATTTCGAAAAAAAAGCATTTGGACTACGATGAGAAGTGATGTAGCCAATCAAAACATTTATGTATGCGTCATGTTGTTTAAAGTACGAATCCCTTGCCGTACTTTAGTGAGAGAACAGGTCACACCAAACTTTATAAATAATGCCTGTTTTAGAATTTGGCGGTCTACCAAATACCTTCTTCCGAGTCGCCAGATCAAACTGGACTCCGTGGTATACCGACGCCATTCTCTACATCCAGCCACACAACTCGCAGCTGTGGCATTTCACTCCAATAAACGCAACTTCTTGAGAGGCAGTGCGACGATTTTAACGCTGAAAGAAGGGGCAGCTTGCAGTGTTGAAGGCGTTACCGAAAAAAAAGTAACGAAATACGTTACACGTTACTTGCAGCTAAAAGAAACGCGTTACCGACCTATGTTACCTCAAAATAAAAGGAACGCGTTACCGTTACCGATAAAAGTAACGCACGTTAGTTTTGCGTCAATTTTTATTTATAAAATGAAGGTAGCAGCGTTTCTTGGCGACTACGTTTTTCGGCACTGAGACAAGAGACATGCGCATGGTTTTTTTTTTCTGCTGAAATTAGAGTTTTGGCGTGGGGAAAAGACACGCAAAGAGTTTGAAGGTATGTGGAACGAGTGCGATATTTAAAGAGATTGCGCCTATACTTGGTTTTATCTGAAGTCTAGATGCAGCCGACGCTAATGGGACCGATCCAGTAGCGTGAAAAGCGCAAGTGATTGGGCCTTTTTTTGTTTTGTTTATGGTTGATTCAGCGATGATAGAGCACGTAGAGAAATGATGAACACCATGGCGGTGCCCGCTTGACACAATCTGATTGGTCCTATCAGCTCTATAGCGTCGGCTCCGTCCGGACATCAGATAAAATAAAGTACTGCAAAACGACTTAGGTTTTGCGAGCACGTAATTTTCGCCAATTTCTTTAATCTTTTACACTACGCGAAAAATAGGTCCCGCGGAGAATTCCGGTAAAATGTAAACACATTGGAATCTATATTGAGATCCCATCGCGTCGCGAAAATTAGAGCCCGCGAATTTTTTCGAAACTTCAGCTTTGACCTAAATCGCGAAATATTGAGCCCCCGAATAATAAGTTGTTTACAGTATAAAAACACGAGAAAAAAATAATTTAAGTGTACCTTTTTTCAGGTTTTGGGAACGTGTAACGAGTAACGTAACTATAGTTACCCGTTATTATAAATAAGTAACGTAAATACGTCACCCGTTACTGTTTTAAAAACATAACGAGTACGTTACTAAGGTACCGAAAAAAGTAACTCGTTACCGGTAAAGCCGTTACTTGTGGCGCGTTACCGCCAACACTGGCAGCTTGTACGTTCTTTATCCTTTATCTTGGCACAAGTGAGGAAAAACGCGCCACCTTCCTCTGACATACCGCAATTTTGATGCTTAATAGCAAAGAGGGAAAAGCGACTTTTTTCCGGTTTGCAGCCGCGTGTGGAGGTCATGGGATCATGTCATAGGAAAAACAGATGTTTTCGCGGCGCCGAGGTCAAGGAAACCATTTTCTATATGTCACTACCCCTCCTCCCATCGTTTCCGCGGCGCCACATGCGGCAAGTCGACAATCGCGGGAGGGCGGGGGACCTGAAGACAGAACCAGGCGTGATACTCCCTTTGACATCACTGCGCAGCTCACTCGAAAGACGGTGACAGTTTAAGGCTACCTTCGATTTGTTTAATTTTGTTTATAAACTTGGCGCACACGAGCGAAAATGGTGCTTGTTCCTTATTTTGTACGTACTAATTCCCGCAATTAATTGGCCAAAATCCCAAGGTTGTTGCATCGCCCTTTAACGTGCTTCGTACCTGGTTTAATTTTTTTTAGAGTGAGAAAATGGATTTTTGAAATGATACAATCGAGTACCTACATTCAGGAGTAAAATTCTGCCAAAGTAACTTTCGTATTCAAAACAACCTATATCTTTGAATGCCACTTTCACATAAGTGTTCGTTCAAAGTGAACTCAAATTAATTGCTTTAAATTTATTCACCCGAAGATCTCCTTTCAGAAGATGCATAGGTACATAAATATAAATGTAAGTATTTTTTCCGGTTTAGCTGAACCATGCGAATTACGTCCTTTTTGGTAAATTGACAATATTACTAGCAAGAAAATTACGTAATCACTCTGTTTCAAAGAGGTTATAGGCAATGTGTGGGGTTTTGTGTCTTTCAATAAATCTGCTGAAATATAAAAACAAAAAAACACACTTGCTATACTTCGTTTCAGCTTCGGTCCAGACGCAGCCGACGCTACAAGCGCGAGCATGTGGCCCAGAACAGTGCTTGCACTGCACGAGCGCGCGTGCTTGGCAGGGATGCTGAAAGCCCGGAGCTCGCGCTTGCAGCTTTGGCTGCGTCTGGACCGAAGCTGAAACGAAGTATAGTACAAATATTGCGGATACAGATTTATTCGAAAAACTCCGAATTTGGGGACTACCATATGTAAAAGCTCTACCGGTCCCTATATTTTCTTGAGATTTTTAAAGAACCCTTACGACATTCTCTATTTTACACCTATCTTTCTAAAGGTAACAAAATGATGCCTTTTGGCCCTTGATCAGAAAAAGAAGGTAACCTTTCCACCTTAATAGTCGAACACGTATCGTCTTTTCACTTCGGACCTATATTCCGACCCTTCTCTCTTTTAGACATTCACTGAATTTTCTCCTGCCTCCTTATCCGGTATAATAAACTTGCTCGTCACCCTCGTTCACCAAAAGATGTCGAAAAATTGAGAAAGGCTTTTCAGTTTAGTTGCGCAATTGGCAAGAAGCTAAGGGTATATGGTAATAAAATAAAAGATACCTGGTTTTGGAGTAATTAGCCGCGAATTCATGCTGTGAAAGGCTCACCTCCAGGCGCTTTGGCTGTGAAAATGCCGTTTTCGTAAACTCGCAAACTCCTGCTGCTCTCCCGAGCCTACGACATTAAACTTGAGAATGATAACTCCGAATTCTATGTATCATCAACTTTGGTTCATAGCACGCGAATTTATCATATACAAAATCTCTGAAGTTTTCAAGAAAACTTAGTTGAATTTTTGCTGCGTGATTTTATTTTCAGATGAGAAGCTAAAATTGACGCCTAATTTTGAAGGAGTTGACGCACACAGAAACTCCCATAATTAATATGGGGTGGTTCAAGTCACCAGGTTCGATCTAAAATTGACCGTAAAAATCGACGCCTGCACTTAGCCATCTAAACTTTTCGTCGAAGGTGTATTTTCCAGGTCGGTTTTTTCTTGTAAACTTACAAAGCGTAGTTCTCTTTTAGTAAAAAATAAGGCCAAGAAACTTGCCAGGGTCTACGGCGGGCCGCGACCCAGATGACCAAGTCCAGTAGCGAGTGATGTCTGGCGTCCGTATTGATAGATGGCGTCGGGAGCGGCGTCTGATGGTGCAGCCGACCAGCGAAAGATAGCAGACGACACGCAGATGAAATCCGTTGGCAGCAAAAGCGCCGCCGTTATGCAGACGCGTTTTTTGTTTTTTACTTTAAGTTTCGCTTTTATTGTTCGCATTTATTTTTAACCGAAGGTACAATTCAAAAAGATTATATTCATTTAATAAACCACAGTGGTCGCGAGCCGTCGCGATAAGGAGGTAGCGCCATCTATCAATACGAACGCCAAACACCCCCCCCCCCCCCTCCCCCCTCTACTGGACCCCTGTCGTCAGCGTTGCTGCCCGCCGTAGACCCTGGTAAGTTTCTTGGCCTTATTTTTTACAGAAAGAGAGCTACGCTTTGTAATTTTACAAGAAAAGCCGACCTGTGCATTACACCTTTGACGAAAAGTTTAAATGGCTATGTGCAGGCGTCGACTTTTACGGTCCATTTTAGATCGAGCCTGGTGACTTGAACCAGCCTATATATTGTTGAAGAACAGCTCATAATTTCACGGTATGTGCAAACGACTTCATATCGCGCTTCAGCTCAGAAAGCACTTTAAATTTGATGTTGTAGTACATAGTTATTTTATTGTTGTACTAATTTTGCACTGATTAATGCTTTTAAATGTTTCCAGAATTGAATATCAAGTATTTGAATAACACCCTCAATAAATTAGGTACTAATTTTGCACTGATTAATGCTTTTAAATATTTCCAGAATTGAATATAAAGTATTTGAATAACACCCTCTATAAATTAGGTAGTAGCAAAAAAAAAAAAAAAGAAACGATTTGGATTTCTATTTATCAAGCCAGCGACATGATGGTTGGTCATTAAGACAAGAACCAGCAATGTCTTCGCTTGCACTTTCAGGCGCCTTTCAGTAAACACTTTTAAGTACTTGTTAGAATTTATCCGAACATGTACAGTGTGACTGGGGCTTTAAGCTCCTCAATGTATGGACATAAAAAAAAAAAAAAAAAAAAACGCAACGCGAATTACTAAGTGAGCACGAAAATTATGATGATGAACGAATAGCCCTGCGGACGCCTCGTTGCAGTGTGTCTCGAGCGCGCAAGGTACTCGGAGGGGCCATGACTCAAGTTGGCATCTTGGCTGCTGCGGGCCTCGTGGCCCTCAAGACAATGGTGCCTCGGCTCCGCGAAGACCACGAGAACACTCAGCGACTTGCCAGAGGTAGGAGATGAACTCCACTTTCGCCGGTATTTGGCCCGCGACGGCAGAGGTGCCTTGGTGCGTAGGAGTCGGGGATGGGGAAGATACGCGTAAAAATGCGTCCTAACACAAACGCGAAATCTCTATTGAGACTTGGTGTTTGAGCTGTTCATTAATTTTTCCTAATCTCGGATTTTTTTTTTTTTGCCACATCATGTTTTGTTTGCACTAGCTCGTTTACGCGTCTATACTTTTTGTGCAATATACAGCCACAAGAAATGTTCAATCAAACATGCAATTCCCCTTATCGAAGAAAAAATAAATACGAAATGCAAATACATAGCGGAATTTTGATCTTCAAACATTTTTCTTTAAACACAACTGCTGCTTGCGTAGCTTAATATATGTGCCTTAAAAATATCATACGCATAAAAATAAAAAAATAAAATTCCGAAAAACAGTGGGGTTTATATGTTGACACAATGCAGTGCACAAAAACAAAAAAAACGAAAGTTAACTACATTTATTCAAATTTAGGAGAAGAGACCGATGGAATTATATGCAGTAGCAAACAATTCCTGCAGGTCAGCGTGTTCCTATTTTTTTTTTTTATTTTACAGGAAAAATACATTAAACTTTGCCGAACGCTCAGTCCGGACCAGATACCAAAGTTCCACAGGTTGCCGTTATCTTGTTCAAGAGTTGTACGCGATTTTCTGAAACCTTATTTCAATGAGAAAACAGCGCCCGTTTTCCCAGTAGTTGACGCCATTCATCCACATGTATTCGGGGGCTTCGTCAGCCACCGTTTTTAATGTTGAAAAAAAAAAATCGCTTAGAACGTTTTAGCGAGATAACGTACGGCTAGTTCAGAAAGTTTCGCATGCGGTCTCGACCGCTAGCGCTACATTTTGGCACACTGAGCGATCGGCGATACGTAGTTTATTGTAGTTTATTTTTTGAGGTAAAAAGAACACCAAGTTTGTTTGTTTTTTCTTTCGGGATACCATTTATATAAATGGTATCCAGAAAGAAAATACATAAGTATATGTCTATTCAAATATGAAAAAAAAAAAGTGTTCCTAAAAGGCAAGGACACCATCTGGTCACTTGTGAGTCATTCACCTTTGACCGTACGAAGACTGCAGGAAGCAGCACAAATATTAGGTAAGACTTCGGAGAGAACTAACTAGACTAACACGACTTTATTAATTTAAGAAACCTAACTAAATTAGCTAACTTAATTAACTAACCTAACTGATTGTGCACCTTGATAAAATCTCTAGGCGGATTGATAGTGTTTCCAGTTGAATAAATAAAGAAAATGCCTGGATTCTGGCTAAATAGAAGCGGTTTTGAAACCTTGACTTTTGACCTGCATCTTCAGAGCCTGAAGAACCGGGAGCGCATTGTGTTCGTTTCTTGACGAACGACTTAATTATTTGCTATACTTCCAACATCAACACGTAAAAGAGATTTTTAGTGACCACCAACAAATGCATATAGAAATATATACAGCTCTGGACTTCTGACGCCACGGTCCATCTTGAAAAAAAGATAAAGGAATGCAACACATTATTTTTGCGAAACATCGTTTCCCTGACAGCTGCCGAATATCATAAACGTAATGCAAATTTTCTCAAATTGCGATAGCAAAATAAATTCTTGCAATTTTAAGCTTGCTGCTGGAAATAACACTGAACGGTGTATGCGCCTTTTTAGCCGGGAGAATTTATGCAGAGTAAAAGGGGGCGATATTCAGAAAAGAAACGTTTAAAACAAATCCCCCATATAAACAAATTGAACAAGCCTGTCGTAAATAATAACGGAATAATATATGAAGTACTTATTTAAGAGATTAGGAAAACTATGAATGAATCAACCGCGATGTCATCGGTTTCTGAACCTGTATGTTCTATTATATATATTTGATTCAGGTAATCAAATACCTTTCTCTTGTAGATTCCTTAACACGTTCTACCGAAACAGTTGTACGTATAACACTAAAATAAATTATACCGTACAAAACAAAACAATTTTCCCCCGCAAAGAACGAGGTGTTTCTTGTTGACATAAGACTTAAGCGTTTCAATTACCCGTAAACGGTTAATTTTAAACCAACGTGTTCTTAAACGGTATAGAATATAAATGCCACAAAGTTCAAATGGCGCCTATCTTTTTCTCTGCAGGTGTGTGCCTTGAGCAAAACCCCTTCATCAGCATTAATTTGAACACTGTTCAGACCAACATCGCTATCATTGACTTCACAGACGATCTGTCTCCCGTCACGTTCTGCGAACGTCTCCAAAAGGCACGTCAGCAACTTTTAAAAACATGAAAACAATTCTCACCCTAACAAGACGATTCAATTTCAAGGATTTGTATTTATGTCCTTCAGGTGAGCCCCAGAGAACTCGAAGATCTCGATGAAGCGATCGTCGTCAAGATGCTTCCCTACGGCCCAACCAAAGCTCGAGCTGTGCTGCATAAAGACATCAGCACTGACGACGTGGACGCAGCCGTCACCAAAATACGTTACATTCTCAACGAGTTGTGCCGCCATGTTCCTGCATACTGATCTTAGCCGGCATGAACTGTACAGTCGCTTTTAAAGCTGTGTTCTTCAGTGCAGATGTGAAAGCGGTGCTCTGGAGTGTGCCCCACAGATCGCCCCTCCAGAGCCAACGGATGTGTTAACCCGGGTACAGGGGAATTAACCATACATCGACTTTGAGCCCTTCTCGTCTCAGGGAGTTCTTTTTTACCTCGTGAAAGTTCCAAGAGGCACTTGAATGAGTATGTAAACAGACCTAGGGCTTAGCAACCTCACCACAATAGTGTACATAAAATGAACCGAGAGCTTGGATGAGGCACTTTAAGGGTGAAGTAGTTGACACGTTGCTTGACCGTTCGTTGAAAACCATCTGTGCAAAGCTGTTTATCTGTGGGTTATATTTGTGACTAAAATTGCGGGTTAGTAGCTTAAAAAAGTTACAGGTTCTGACGCTCTAACTTATGTTTTATATGTAATCAGTATAGTATAAATGTGCCAATTGCATCGCTTGAGCACTGCCATGATTGATACGAAAGTTTAGATTATGAAAGTAAGATAACATCAATAAAATATATTATATTTTTTTATCTATATAGCTCGAACATTAACTGTTTATTATATGACAGCACTGGCACAAACAGCGCGAGAACCAGAAAATAAGCAAAGTAGATAAAGGCTTAACATATTTAAAAATGTTATCTCAGAAATTGTCAAAAAGATTTCAAAAGCTACAAAAATTGCGAGTTCCCTGCAGTATCCTGCAGAAAAACTGAGGCGATAGCCGAGGCACTCGCGATTTGCTGCCCATATACAATAGTGGCGGTCCTTCTCCATGTCCATTCACAATTTGACGACAGGGAAGCAATCCGGTTGTCACACGATGTCACAATTTCCCCCTAAGTATAACGTAGCACTGACGTCACGTGACATGGTGACGCTACTTGACTCTGACGTCACATGGTCATGTGACGTTACAATGTAACGATGCGTCATGTGATGTCAGAAATTCCCAGCAAACGTTTAGCATACGCTGTGCCCCGACGAATACAGCGAGAGATCAGTCTCACTTGACACTCCAAAGGCTCGCAAAGCGTTTCTCCGCTAGATTTAGCGAGAAAAGTGTAGTCACTTTACACTGACGTAACGTAAAGCGTTTAGGCACGGTGGTTCGCCGCCAAATCTGGTGATGTAATGAATCGCGTGACGACAAATATTTCAGGATAATCTTGAAGAAAATATTTTTTCCCGCTAAATGTAATAATGAAACGTTTTGGGCGATCGCGTCACAGCGTTGCATTTCACACTAAATGTAGCAGGCAACAAAATGTACCATACACATCAGGATGCGCAGTGATACCTCGCCTATCGTGAATCGCCGCAAAAAAGAATAGCTTGGTATTCTTAGGGTACGAAAGTGAACAAGTAAATCTAGCCAGATGTAAAGCACATCCATATCCACTCAGTCTCTTAAAAAATGAAAACTGACAAGAGGCCTCTGAGACCTGTGTGAGGTCTGCGTAAACGTAGCTTTACATATTCTTATGTCCGACGTAGTAAAAAAAAAACGTTCCTTTGGAAGCCCTCACCAGAGGGCTCCCAAGTCAAGATGACAAAAGAACTAGGCAGCCGGCACCGCAGGCACCACAATTAATATAAACGCCACCTAATTTCTTTTTAAACACCTTGAAGTCCAACCACCAAGAGTAGGAGTGGAAAGACAGTTATCATCCACGGTATATTTTGTTTTTCTACACATAAGGTCTAAAAATCGCGGTGAACCAGGCGCTACGAGGGCTGTGTTACTAAAAAGTCAGAAAAGTTTTATATATATATATATACAACACGGGCACTTCACACCATCGTACGTGGTCTCCGAGGAGGATATAAACAAATATGTGCAGATGAATGCTCATTCATCTACACACATCTGTTTATATATATATATATATAACGGGCATGGTGGCGGGAGGCCGAAGGCGTGGGTATAAAACTGAGAAGAAAAAAAACCCTTAGTGAAAAACAGCAACAACGGACGATTTAATCTTCGACGTTTCGGCCGGAGTCCGGCCTTCGTCAGGATGAACTTTTACAGATGAACGCGGGTGGTATTTATACAATGCTACGGTCGAGTCCAAATTTCGGAGGGGTGACGGTTGAAGCTTTCGAGAGAGGGACGCGGAGGGCAGTTCTTATCCGGGTGAAGAAGCTTGACGGTCGGTGCCAAGTTTCAAGGACGGCGGGATGACGGTTGGAGCTTCTTGAGAGGTGGCGCAGGGTGACTTTGTGTCCGGGCCGGCAGCGGTGACCTATATAGACGATAGCGTACAATAGACGAAAGTTACACGCGCAAACTAAAATGCTGACTCAAAAAAAAAAAAAAAAAAAAAGGGGCGGCACGGTCATTTGTGTGCATGCAGGCATGCATGAGTCAAACCTGGAAGGGAACAATGTTAAACCTAGAAGTAAAAAGAAATACAATAGATATCAGAACCTGGAAATAAAAGAAAAGTTGATGGTCCAGTTCCGGCCCCAAACACAGTACCACTGTTAACAACAAAATCTACAAAAAAAAATGTTTTTGGATTGCTGTTGCTATTCGTCTGTTAGCATTTTAATCGATGCCAGAGTACCGGGGCTTTCATTTATTCCTTGTTTAATAGTGTTAAATCGGTAAATTAGGTAGGATTCACGCTGTTCACGTTCGCGATTTGATTTAAATCCAGATTCTAGGAGCGTCACTGACAATTTATCAAAAGAATGTTTCGGGAGAGCGAGATGTTTGGATAAAGGCAGTGCCGGAAGATTTATGGCGTGAGATTTGTGATTATTAAAGCGCAGTCTAAATGCCGTTCTTGTCTGCCCTATGTATTGCATGTTGCATACCGTACAGTCGAATAAGTAAATGACATTCGACGAGGCACATGTTAAGTTCCCTTTAATTTTGATCGAGAATTGCGAGTGCGTGCTGCTGGCCGTGCTTGTGTGCTGCATCTGTTTACAGATTAGACATCCTGAGTGCCTGCAAGGCCTACATTCGTTAGGTGGTGGCGATGAATTTATCCGAGAGTTTACTAGCGCGTCTTTGAGGTTACGCGATCGTCCGTGGACTACCCCCGGGGCGGATGGAAACGCGCGTTTAAGGCGCTCGCTTTGTTCGAGAATGTTATAATGTCGTCTCAAGACATTATTTACATTAGGATGGTTTATGCTATAAGTTAGACATAGATTTGTGCGTTGTGTGGCGCCTTGCGTGGGGCGCGGGCTGATGAGGTCTGCGCGGTTCAGTTGTTTGGCTTTTCTGATTGCATCGTCGATTATACGGGGTGGATACTTTTGTTTCTCTAGCACTGACTTTAAATTTTGACTGCTCGCATCAAAATCTGTCTCTTTTGAACAAATTCGTTTGAAACGATGAGCTTGGCTATAGGGAATGCTGTTCTTGCAATGGTGTGGGTGGTCGCTTTGATAATGAAGGTATTGCTGCCGATCTGTTGGCTTACGGTACAGGCTCGTGGCGAGTTTACTTTCGTCTATCTTAACGTTGACGTCTAGGAAGTTTATTTCGGTTTGAGAGTACGAATGTGTAAAGCGGATGCTCGGATGAGCAGCATTGTATCGACCTATGAAGTCCACCAGCTCCTCCTCAGTGTGCGACCACTGACTTGAAAGCTTCAACCGTCACCCCTCCGAAATTTGGACTCGACCGTAGCATTGTATAAATACCACCCGCGTTCATCTGTAAAAGTTCTTCCTGACGAAGGCCGGACTCCGGCCGAAACGTCGAAGATTAAATCGTCCGTTGTTGCTGTTTTTCACTAAGGGTTTTTTTCTTCTCAGTTTTATATATATATATATATATATAGTTGTTTAGAACATGGCCAACAGAAGCCAAACACAATGTGCGGGCTGTGATTGCGGTTTCTGGAGACCTGTAATTCTCAGCCCCAGGTGCATTAAAAATCACAGGTTCAGGAATACGGTTGCACACAATCAAAGAGAAAAACATGCGCCCGTGCACGCTGCAAAGCACTGATCCGGGTCAAACATAGGCAGGTGGCGCATACCTCCGCGACATGCGCGTGAAAGTGGCGAGAGATTTATAGAACGAAGGCACAAAGCAAGGGACGCGCGTCCCTTTCGAGGGCCCCAAGACACGAACCGGTCAATAGCGCATAATGTGTTTTTTTTTTTGTTTTTTTTTTTATCCAGCATCTTTGAAATGGCGCAGCAAGCATCTGAGCATAAATACAATATACCTTCGTAAACAAAACGTACGCGTCTTTTTCTTTTTTTTCCTCTGTACTAAATAAAATTTACGACAGGGACCCAAAAGTGATAGAGATGAATTTCTGGAGCGCGGGCCCATCGCAGTTCAAGCTTCCGCCGCTAGCAGAGCTTAGTGGCACCCCTACCGAGTAAGTTAGCCCACCGGCGTAGTCTTCCAAAGTTCTTGCGGCGTAATAGGAATTTTTTCCCCAAGCGGTTCAAAATCATTTATCTTTTTTGGGCAATGTATGATTTGAAGGAACAGCGTGCGGACGTGAAATACTGTTTTCTTTTAGGAAAAACGGCGGTGGAAACTTTAGCAATGCTTCAGACAGATCAGAAATGATATGCTAGGAAGAAATCGCAGGTCAACGAGTGGTTTTCTTGCTTCAAAAAGGTGAATTATTGATCGACGTCCAACCTCGTTCAGGGCGACCCCTAACATCCTTAAGTGATAAAGACATCGAAAAAATTCTGGCTAACATTGTAATATTAGAAAAAATATATATATATAAAAAACCTCATGCAAAGTTTGTATTGAAACTTGCTTTATCTTGGGTTGTTGAATTGACCGAGACTCGGGTGAAAAATCTAGGAAACATCAACATTGGAAGAAAAACCAATAGGTGACGGGAGGACCGAGTCTCAAAGTCAACCAGAAAATTATTCAGCAAGCCTCTCTCATATACATCCGACTCCCAAGTTTGCCACCGCGCTGACGGCGGGGCCAACGCGGGCAAGACTCTGCCATCTAGATTGCTTACCTTCGTTCATGCGCGGCGCGGCGTCGCTGGAAATGTTCATTTACAAAGTGCTAGTGCGTTCGAGGGACCGGAAATTGCATTCATTCACTCAGCTCAAAGCCAATCTGTGATCTAAACCCAGAGCACTTAGGCCCTGGCACCTTTCCCTTCTTTTCTGAAAAAAGACAGTTTGCACCGTCTCTCCCCCTCCCCCTAGTAGGCGCTGTCACATTGAAGAAACAGTTCAACATCTCTGTCCATCAACACGAGGGAAACCTGTTTTCGGCGACCCTGTCACATTGAGGGAACTGCAACTGCTGGGAAACATGTTTTTGTCGCCCGGCATTGGTGTTCGCCTAATTGTTGTCCAACAGTTGGCGAACACATTATCACACCGCGCTGACGGCGGGGCCAGCATGGGGAATGCTCTGTCATCTTGATTGTTTACCTTCGTTCATGTGCGGCGCGGCGCTGCTGGAAATGTTACTCTACAATGTGCTAGTGCGTTCGAGAGGTCAGCAGTTGCCACGGAACGACATCAACCAGTGACTGTTATTAGAACACGGGGAGTATTTTCCACCATTTTTTTATCAAAATGTTCTTCATTCGCTGACGAATCATTTAGTCCTAACCGAGAAAAGTGAGATCGCTGCTGTTCGCGATTTACACCGCTATATGAAGTGTTTCTGTCCGGTTCTTTCTTTCATGCAATTTCTATTTCTAGTCTGAAATTGAGTTAGTACCTGCAGTACCCCAAAGTGTCTTTTGTAGCATGGTGTTGAGCTGAAGTGGCAGTGCTTAAAAGCTGCGATACCGACACGATCGGCCTTCATAACGATCGGTGGATAATTATTATCCAACACTGTCTGTCTACCGCCTGCTGTATGATTGCTTGACTCCCCAAAACGTCCTGGGGGATTTTTTAAACAATTCAGGTGTCTGGCAGCGGCTGTTTTGAAGTTCCAAGCATCAACAATCATGATGAAAGGGGCCACTTTAATGCTTCATTTTTTTTTTATTCGCTTGCTGTCCTGGACTATATTTATTAAACTTTACCAACGGGCAAGCAGGCATGCCATTTTATTTCCCTACCAGTAATGTGAGCCGGTCTCTCGGCAGTTCTAATTTCGACACCAGTCTGAACGTTCACGACCATAGCTGTGACCATTTCAACGATCGCTTTCCGTAATTACGCAGAAAAGAACATTCATGCAATTATTCTAGCTGCCCGCCAGCTTTACTGACTGTTAAAAAGCGTTTTTCACGCCTTTACTTGAGTAACTCTTAAAAAAAAAAAAGTCGTTATTGAGAGGAAACTTTGCCATTGAAGCTATCTGTGTTGTCGTATTGACGGCACAAAATTCGCTCATCGACCTATCTGGGCAACACGTGTCATCCAACATAAGTTGCTGCTGTTCTTGTTGCCGAGAGCTATCACACCGAGGCAACATTGTCGCTGTCGACTGTGTTGTGTCAATGTTTCCGCGATGTGACAGATTTGTCGGGCAACAGGGAGACCGAGAACAAAGTTGACCAAATGTTGATGAACCTGTGTTACTGTCGCCGCTGTGTTAACTCAATGTGACAGTGCCTTTACAGAGACAAACGAGACGCCCTCCGCGAAACAAGTGCATCGCTGACATTCACTTTAACACGTCCCCCTTTCTTTAAGCGAAAGCCTTTCACGCACTTAAAAGAGAAGGGGGACACGTGCCAGGGCCAAAGTGTTCTGGGTTCGGAGCAGAGATTGGCTTTGAGCTGAGTGAATGAATTGACCTTTTGGATGCAAAGGGTGGCAGCCTTGGGGGTGGGATGTATATGAGAGGGGTTTACTAAATACTCTTTTAGCTGAGCTTAAAACTTTTTGCTCTCGTCACCCTTTTCTTTCACTTCGGTAATTTGTTTCCTAAGTATCTCGCTAGTGTCGGGTAATTCGACATAATGGTAAATATACACCGGGTTGCTTGTCTCTCACTGTAAATTCTTTACCTTGTATGTATTACTGAATTAAGATTAAAAAGAAACTGTTTTCACTATATTTTATTTAACCTTTTTGAGGTATGCCTACTTCTTTCAGTATAAGCGTGTAGTACTTGCTGCCTCACAAGAAATGGTAAGCTGTACTTATTCATACCAATTTCTCAGGGGCTATAAGTGAAGGAAAAGTAACATGTCTAACTTTACTTATAATGATTTCTGGAACTGGTGTTTGTCATTCAGTAGTGAAAATTTCTAAAACATCCTTCCCAGAGCGACAATTTGTGTGCAGTTATTTTTGTGACCTGTCTTCATGCGGCAGAGCGCAACATGAACTGCCTTTGTGTTGTGTAACAGGAAGGCTGTGTCTTGAAGCCTCACACGGGACGCTCCAGGACACCACCTTAAAAATGCCAAATGTTTGGCGATCCAAATCTGGTACCCTGAAGATAAACCACAAAGTGCTGCTCGGCCTCTGAAAAACAAAAACAATTATGGTGCAATGGCAATCAACCTTTCCTTGTAGAACCTGAATCTAGTACAAGCTCATGTTTTTATCATTTATTAAACAATTAATCAGCATTTGCTTTTAAGCAGCAAGAACAATTTTCAGTCATAGTTTTTGCCTAATGTTTATATGAAATAAGCTTTTTTGGTCTAGCGCTCATAGCTATTTAAGAAAATAAAAATGCTCACCTTTACCAGAACCTTCCCGTAGAACTTGGTCATAGTCTTGTGAATTAGTCCATTAAGTAACTGTGGCATACAAATATTAGCGTGAGCAGCACCTGCAGAGAAACTGACTATAATGCATAGGGTGAGGTCGTTCAGCAGAATGAATACTCCAATATGGAACAAAATCCCTCAACTAAAGATGAAATAGTGCAGCTAAGGAGCGTGCCCCCTTCCACCCCCCCCCCCCAAAAAAAAAAAAAAACAACAACAACAACAACAAGTTTACTGTGTGTGTGTGTAATTTCCGTACAACAGAGAGTTCAGCGCCTTGGCTGTTGCAGCAATTCAGTCGCAAAACACGTCAAGATTTTTTTATTTATTTTTTGGCGTACGCAAGGCTACGATCTCTGCACGGCGACGCTGACTTTTAGACGACTGTGTAGATAAGCAAACTCTATTTATGTGTTTTCTTCCACAACACATAGCGGCAATTTTGAAAGGGCACTTTTATTTCCAAGCAGCTGCCGAAAATGTTCCGCCTCGGGAGGTTCTCTTCGAAGTTCGAAGCGACCGGCGCTCAGATGCTACCACCTGTTCCTGCGGTCATGTGAGGGGAAGAGCAAAACTGAAGTGTATGTCACACATCCGAAATATCAAAGCCGAAATACGTTATGCTTTGTCCTAGAGAGTCTAGATTTGAGATAGGGAGCGACTCAAAACCACAGAAAGCATTTTTTTTTTCCATTTAATAGCGGGCAGCTTTTGTCCAGACAGGTCGCTTTCCGCGCATGCGCACGTTCCTCGTGTGGCGAGGAGGATACCGGATGAAAATGCTTAGCAGAGGCTTGCTCCCCCTCGGATCTTGTATTGCGAATGCGGCACATAAACCGTGTGACTCTGATAAAGCAGTTGGGAACACATTTAAATATATAGCACACTACTTCGTCCGCCGCCCTCGAGAAAGATCGTGGAGGGATTTTCACTGGAGCGATCGATGACTTTGTCGCCCACCAAGATATCTTTCAGCGTTCGATGGAGACCACTGCAAATGTTTCACTGGTTCATGTGGAGCGCTGGAGTCCTGTATGTCCTGTGGTGTTACTTTGCCAGCTCAGCGAGTAAGTCAGGACCGTTCTTTTAATAATTTGTCTATTTATATACCTGATTACGTGAAATCGAACACCCGTGTCTGTGTGGGTATTGTGATTTGGTTGATATATATATGAGTGATTTCATTTAATCTCAAACACAAATGTAGGCTCGAATTTTTAATTTTTGTAAAAAAAAAAACATGTTATCGGGCAATTTCTGTATTAAAAGAAGACGCAAACGGCAAGTTCGTCGGATTTTTTATGCTCAAGTTATGGACCGTTGAAGCAGCCAATGTGGAAACTGTCATTTTTTCAGCTTATCGGGGAGCCATATTTCGCTCCATCCCTTTCCCTACTTTTTACGCTACATCAATTAATGAAGAGAAAACTAGGGGCTCTAACCAAAACTTTATTAAACATTTACCACAAATATGACACAAATATGATGTCCGGAAGAAGGATGTGGAGGCGAGCGCCCTCGCGGAGCACGCAGAAGAGGCCGGCCACACTGTCGACTTCGAGGGAAGCACCGTGCTGGCCTTGGAGAAGAATTGGCGAAAGCGGCTCTTCGTTGAGTCCTGGTTTATCCAGCACACAAAGGGGAACGTGAATCGTTCTTCGGGCTCCCTGCCCAGCAGCTACGCTTCGGGACTGCGTGACGTGAGCAAAGCCCCCTACATCCGTATGTGCACTTAGACGACACGTGTTCTTTTCTTTTTGTCACTCGTCCGTGAACAAGGGACCGAACTGGTCCCGAAACGTCGGGTAAATGTTTAATAAAATTTTTGGTTAGAGTCCCTATTTTTCGCTTCATGTCTACTCCTAACCAGGCAGAGGGCTGCCGAACGTTTACCTTCAACATCAATTAATAAAGAAAATAGAATAAATAAAGGTGGGTTTTTTAAGAAAATCAATTTAAAACTTGCAAGTTTTTATAAATATATGTTTATCAGGCAAAAGTTCCGCGTTATATGTTTAGTGAAAAAGATTGAAATAAAATTTACTCAAAAGAAGGAACTTAAATGGAGCTTTACGGTGATGTAAACATCATAAAAATATATTGATTAGGTCACACAGCACAGCTTGCTGAACTTCGTCAAATATTGTTGCAGAGAGGCGTTTTGACAATTAAAAAAAACATGAAATATATTATGACCTAGACGCTTTATTAGTATATTTCGCGGTTGTCATCTTCTTTTATTAAACGAATTTACAGGTAGCTACCAAAAAATCTAGGAGGCGTTAATTATGAGTTTGTGTATATTGAGTCACTTCTTGCAACTGCGCCTGCGCGCTGATAGCCTTGACTGTGGAGTTCCCGCTATCGTAGCGGGTTGCGGAGGGCCTTGCGGGACGGCGAAAACGATCTACGAAAACGCCCTATTGTCCCATCTACTCCTACCGTCGCCTGCGTCAGGACCTAAAGGGGCAAACAAGAGAATGAAGAAAACCAAATGCTGCTTCGAAGGGCGTGCCTATCAGTGTCAGACACGAGCGTTCAGTTACGACATAGGTCTTGAGCGTCAGATAATGACGACGTAGAATTCTGCCGAATAGGTGCTCGTGACTCCTTCTGATCCTTTGAAGCGCATAATTATCATTCAAATTTTTGCTTCGAACGGCCGTTAATTGGTGGGGCGGTCACATCTTATAACTGGATGTTAAATCCAGCAAGTGGGAAGATCGCGCTTGGTTCTCGCACGCTCTTGTCGTTTCGGTTCTCTATTGATTCCGAACAATGACGCCATCAAAAATTTAAAAAAAAAAAAAATCAGAAAAAAACAACAAAAAAAAAAACATGTGCTCAAGATTTTGAATTCTGCTCACCTTTTATGCTTCAAATTTCTTCTTTATTACATTTTACTGTATTTCTAGAGGGCCACACACCAGTTCGAGCGAACGTGATGCAGATTATAAAATTGCCAGAAACGGTTTGCAGGACGCCTTTAAGGTTAAACAAAGTATATAAATTTTGTTACCTTTGAAAAACCTTTAGACCTATAAATGAGGACTTCCCCACCCGCCGCCTCGCGACATTGAGGAAGCAATATTCCTGAATAGAATAAAGCGAACATATGGCGCTCGTAAAAGGGTGCTCTGGAGTTTTGTGTAATGAATTTGATAGCAGAAGAAACCCACCGACACATAACGTTGGGTTCACTTTGACCTGAGTGCTCATGCTTCCTTCTGCTTGTGCCTGTCGTAGATGGTGACGCCCCTGAAATCTGGCCGAATGCGTTCGTAAAGGGTTCTTATGGGCTGCAAAGGGTACAGGTAAAGGCAGTTGCACACAACATCATTTGAACAGTCTGCCGCCAGTTAAGTACAAAACGAGCGTGTTGGTAACGGTAATTAGACATGAGGAAGATACAAGTACTTGCAACCCCCAGCAGAGGTCCTCTAAGCCCGTTCTTCCTTTCAACAGCTCACACTCAAAGAATGTAAAAAATGGGATCGTTCGAAATCTAATTGCCTCGGCAAAGGTTAAATCCTGTCAGCACCTTTCCGCCCCCAGCCAATCCAAGCAGATTAGTCGCCTCATAAAGGCAGGATACCCGAGAGACCTGATTGAAACAACAATCAAAAGACTTGTCGCGGGGCAGAAGTCCAAACCCCTCCCTCCTAAGTCACGTTCCGCATGCATCCCCTACATACACAACGCCTCACATCGCCTGAAATCTATTGCGCTCGGCTTCAACACCAAGGTTGTATTTTCCTGCAGGTTCAAATTAGCTTCTATTTGTAGAAAGGTCAACAACCCCGGTCCAGCGCCCCCGTGCCAGAAAAAGCACCAGACCAATTATGTAACCTGCTGCAAAGAGTGCGTGTATTCGATTCCCATGTCCTGCGGTGCTAAATACATCGGACAGACGGGCCGATGCCTAAACGATCGGGTGAGGGAACATGCAAACGAGATCAAGAAAGCCGCTTCCGACCCTTCGGAGATTCGTTACCACCCGATTGCCAAACACAGCTGAGTGCAGCGAACCCTGTTCGGCCGACCTTCCCTCGACCACCATGATTGGAGGTCAAGCCTCAAGATACGGACGAGAGATCATGGAGGCCTTCGCCATGCACCACGTCACAACAACTTTGGATCCCCGTCCATAGGCTTATCCAGAAGGGAGATGAACTTCCTGGGGCCAGAGCTGACGTCCCTCGTTTCCGCGGCTCCAAGCGATTAGATGTCTACCCCACGGGATCGTCCCTCATTTCCCTGACTCTACACCCTCTCCCATCGCTTTCCCACTTTCCAGTGTAGCGTCTTTCACCCTCCCCTCCTTCACCTATATATGCGAACTTCGGGTCAATAAATGTTGTTGCTAGTTGGAAGTCTTCGTATCTTCCTGCCACCAGTGTTATGAATTTGATGGTATTGTTTCAGTTCATCTGATTTCTACCTTTTTTTTTCTATGTTTCTCACCGCTGTTGTTTCGCGCAATTTGCTTACAAGTACTTGCAACCCCCGTACTCTAGTGCCCATGCGCCAAGAGACCCTTTTCAGAGTGGCGGCATTTTGCCCTTTCTCACTTCGCCGCATTCTTTGTCGAAACTTATCAAAACATCCCAACCGTTTCTTTCGCACGTAGGCCTATTCGCACGTAGGCCTACTCGCATGGCACATGGTATGTTCTAAGCCCTCGATATGGGGTCCGACGGCTCGTAGCGTACGCTGCAGTCTACTAAACTATTATGGAGTTACACTCTAAAAATAAAAATTTAGTAATACACCCTTGGCCACATATACTACACCCCAAAATTTTCATTTCGACGTACAGCGCCTTGACGTCGAACTGACGGTTCCAACTTTTGCGAGGGGCTTGGCAACGGTGCGATATAACCGCGAAAGTACGTAGCAAAGACAAGATAAATAAGACACTGAAGTTTCGCAGTAGAGCCAAAAAAAAACTGCACTTATTTTTTTTTTTTCTTGTCAGTAACAAGTAAATGAGTTTTTTTTTTTTTTTAATAAGTTGTGCAACTCAGTCATCAAGCCGTGAAAGTTGGTACCGTCGTTTCGTCGTCATGACGCTGTACGGAGAATAGCACAGCGATTTTGTTTTCCCTTTTGCAGTTTGAAAATTGAGAATGCCAAAGTCACTGAAGCCGATAAAAATTACCCAATGCCCCGAAGTAGTTTCCAAAAGTAATTTATTAACAGTTGAAGTATTTTGACTCAAGTCATTTTGCACGGAAAGTATCTTGAGTAGAACTTCAACTATTTTAGGAAGCACGAATGTAGCAACTTATCTTGAATACTTTTGTCGAGTATATTGTTCAACGCTAAAACATTCCCCTCGACAAAAGAACAAACAAAAGGAAAAACCGTTTTCAAGCAAACTGGGACCGAAGAGAAAACCTCCGCTTCCGTCCAGCAAACGTTGCCTGCAGAAGAAAGCGCGTCATACGTGAAAAGCCCTTTAGTGTCACGTGACCTTCCAGATGGCCGCAGCGTAGCGCGCGTGGACAGTGTAGTCCCGCGATGCGTTCTCGGAGCTTAATTGGATGAAACGCAGCGCCCTCCATCGAAAGGTGGAACGGAAAATAGCTCTATATATAAAGCATAGAGTTATTATAATATACGCTAGAGGTTCAACTGGCGCTAGTATCTATGCGACTTCCGGAAGGCAAATTGAAGCAGACAGCAACCAGTCTACTTTTGCGGTGCTCCTGTGCATTCCTATGGAAAAACGCGTGTGAAATTTGTTTCTTCGCCGGAAAATAACATGAATAACTTTTATTATTTCGCTTGTACCGGATAGTATGTACATTTATTAATATTGTAAAAATGCAATTGCTTTAATTACAGCATTTTTCTTTACCACTGAACGATGTTAAGCTTCGCTATATTTAAGGCCCAAACCTATGTTCCATGGCAGGTATGTAAAAACGAGCGACGATTCTAAGCAAACTAACGATCGAAAAGAATGTGGAGTGTGTTCAAGGTTCGCTAGCATTGCGGTGGCGCTTATATATTGCTAATATGCCCGTCCTGTCACTCTATGAAAATGACTCCTTTGTGCTTCTTTACGACGGTTAAAAACATTTGAATGTAAGAAATAAAGGACGTGGACCACGAAAGGTGTACCTTCTTATTATTTCCTATGACGGGCAGTTTTTATCGCGCACCTATTCTCTGACTTCTCCCTATTTGCAAAGGTTTGGAGCGTGCGGTTGATGATTGGAACCCAGAACATGCATCTTTGCACATATTCATGAGCAGAAAGAATAAAGCAGTACTTATTTATTGCAAATCGGACTATATTACGTGGCTTTCAATTTATTTTGATCGCCTGCATGCACAAGGAGTTACTTATCCAGTGTTACTGCATAGTTCTTGCCGTCTCTCTTTGTTTTACACATGTCCTTCGTTCGTTTGACACGTATATCCCCCATGGTGGAAAGCGCCGATGCCGTGTTCGCGCTAACAGTGTCCGACAGTGCTCATAAATACATGTACGAAGCGGTCTAAGCACCGTTTTTCATCCCACGAATTTCAAATAAAAACGCCGGAACTGATCAATTAATTTGTCTGCATGACTGAGAAACGTTCCAATGTGCTAGTACGTACGAAATATTGGTGATATTTGCTCTTATAATCGAGCGCAGCGAGAAAATGCACTCGTTTTTCCCCATAGAAATGCATTACCCGAAGTCAATTTCCGACTGGTTGCTGTCTACTTCAATTTGCAGCAGCACACTAGCGCCACTTGAACCTCTAGCGTACATTATAATAACTCTATGATATAAAGTAAATCTATATTTCAAAATATGCGGATAACTGAACCGTACTCATCGAATGAAATAAAGGTTACTAAGACGCTGAATGCAGACGATATAAAAAATGCAATTTTTGTCTTTTCGTTTCAAGTGGCAATGGTTGGGGTTCAAATACTGATCATGTATAGATATTGTGATACGAAATCAAATAAATTAGTTGGTATAATTTAAACACTTAATTGTTAGCATGACATATTAAAAAAAAAAAAGAAAGAAACACGCAACATTTACATATGTGAGGGATATTCTATTCAGGATGACACGGACTTTTCGTGGAAGCACGGTCGATCTTATCTACTCAGCGTCTGGCTGTGGTGCCTCCTGCAAGCTGCGCTCAGCCAGGCTCTGCTTCAGGGAAATCCGCGGGTGAGTCAGCGCAAGATACTCAATTCGGGAGGCTATGGTCTCACGTGCTTATTTGGAATATACGGGAGTTTTGTTTCTTATTAGCTCAAACAAATACAATCAAGTAGTTAGTGAAGTACCGCACAACCACTAGCGTCACATTCTCACTGAGTATGAGCCTTCTGCGATGCAGAGCTCATTTACACGGCCCGAAAAACACGGTTCTCACTTTTTGGGAACGCCCTGTATATGAAATTGCAGAGGCTACGGAAGACATTTATAGTCACAGGAATGAGTAAACACTTATGTAAGGTGAAACACCGCGACAGCTTAGGTGTGACGCCGGAGCTGCTAAGGTGTCATTTCGGAGCAGATGGACTGAATGAACAATAAAGGTGCGAGCGCGCCCCCTAGAGGGGCGCGCTCGCACCTATGGCGTTTCGTATTAAACCGAGTAACACACCGGACAAAAATACCATAGCCATTGGGATCCAATGAAGGTGTATTAAGTAGAGAGCATTGCGTGAACCTGCTAAACAGTTTTATTTCACACAAGCTGGGACTGCCTCGTGATAACTCAAGAACACTTCGAAAATCGCGCGTCCAAGATACAGGCAACCAGGAAAACGAAGAAACTGCATGTGTATGCATGAACCGTTCCCTGCCGTTGGTGTGGCTGCCTAAACGTCTTATGCGATCTCACTGGACTAGGGTGCCTAGATGTCTGTCTCTCTCAGGGTGAAGATGTCCAATTGTTGCCCCGAATGTGCCAGCGTGTCACGTTCTCGCGCACTCGGTGCGTGACTTGGACGGTAAAATGGCGTCTATGCATTAGCCAAAGCTACGCGCTCGAGCTAAGTGACACCGGATTGCGCGCACTTCAAAATGCATAAAAAAAAAACAAAAAAAAAACAAAACAAACGATTGGGCGGAAAAATGGCTGAGATGTCACCACTCAAGCAAAAGCGCGCATGTGTATGAAGGCACTCTACACTGGACACAAACTAACACCGCCTTCTGGTCCCTGAAGAAAACTTTCAAAATCAGGCACTTTAGTTTCAAGCGTTCTAGATCCACCTAATTTCACGCCCGTGGTTTCGCCGGCTTAGGACCCACATAGCTTCTTTTTTTTTTTTAATTTATTGCCCGAGATCCTTTCTGGCATAATTGGCGAAAATGCTTTATTTTTATTGTTTCGATTATCAGCAGTCTCATGTTTATCTTCCTACGTAGTGTCTCGTGACGTCATGACCTCACTTGACACACAATGTCACCTGACGTCATTAAGTCGCGTGGCGTCACTGTGCAACGTGACTTGAGATGACAATGTCACATCATGGTATCAGCAGACGCCAGGTAACAAGTGACGTGACGCACGGCGTAACGTCGGAGTCGCGCCGAGGGGCGTGACGTCACTGGGGAATTTTTCGACGGAGTGGCAAAAATGACCCGCGTCGATATGGACCGCGCTGTCAGCGGCGCGAAACCCGCGACGTGTCCCACTGACAGCTGCCGCAGCAATGATTTACTCATGATCATAAACCAGAGCGATTAATCAAAACGAGCAACATTCAACAAGGGGCTCAGCCGGACTCGAGGAGGGGAAGGAGAGCATAAGCCGCTGGATTGAGTATGATACTGCCGCCGTCAGTCGCTTGCGGCAGCATGTCACTGTTTGCGGCGAGTGATACTTAATCCACCATACTGATGCCTGATTCACATGATGCGATTCTGATTGCTATTTCGCAGCGGCGGTGTTGAGTCTCGCCGCCTCGTCCACACGTTTTTTGTCACACGAGCGACATCGGAATTGCAAAGTCGCGAGCAATACCGCACCATGCGAATCAGCCTTTAGTTCAGCTTACTTAGCACGTAAGCGGCGATCGGCGGCGAGTCATACATAGTCCAGCATGTTTAGCCCGCAGGCGACCGTCGGCGGCGCGTTATATTTAGTCATGCATACGTAGTCCACAGAGGACCGTCGGCGGCGAGCCAAAATCAGTTCATCACACTTAGTCCGCATGCGACCGCAAGTGGCAAGCGGTATTTGATCCAGCATATTTGGTCTGCAGGTGGCCGTCGGCGATGAGTACTGTAAGACGTGACGTCCGGTTTTATTCGGGCCTTGGGTCGAACCGAGCCAGCGCCACACCCGTGCACCCCACACGCACTTGTTCCCGGGATCACTTCTTCTTTGTGCTTACATATCATCTGTTCCCTCACCCCTGGGGGTGCGGTGCGGGGGGCTGATGATACTTTCTGCCATTCCGGGGCAGGCGGCGGCGAAGGTACTGGCTAGATATCTTCCACACGCAAATGTCGCCGATGTGCGGGGGGGGGGGGGGGGGGGGGCAGGCTACACGGTCCGGGGCCTCAGCCTCTCGGGACAGGAGCGGAAGAGGTGACAAGCAGTGCCGCCTCAACATCGGCGGATGTTTGAGGCCGAGTTGCGGCGGTCCGGTTTTGTCGCACTCGCTACTCCCTGTTGGTGTGAAGTTGCCCCAGGGTGTGGTGCCTCTCAGGGAGCAGGCGTATGCCACAGAGATGGCATACTTTGACCTGTTCCTCTTCGGTGTAAACCGCCGGGACCTCCCGTGCGCACCACTCACCGAGGGTGCGTCCCTTGAAGGGTGGCGGGACCTCATTTGGGTTCAACGTGGGTTTGAGACCGACGTTGGGCGCCAGTGTAGGACGTGACCTCCGCTTTATTCGTACCTTGGGTCGAACCGAGCTAGCGGCGAGGCCGTGCATCGCACGCACATGTGCCCCCGGGATGGGTTCTTCTTTGTCCCCACAGTACCCAGTCCACCATATACCTAGTCCGCAAGGCGCCGTCGGGGGCGAATCATACTTAATCGAGCATACTTAGTCCACAACCGACCGTCGGCGCGCGCAGTTGGTTACCGAATGACGTAGCTCCTTAGGTGAATTCATGTATTCACGGGCACACTTGTACATATTCCGTCACAAGTAACGAAATTACTTTTAATCCCTACCATTTATTAGTAATTCTATAAGACAATAACTATATATTTTACGAAGTAATTGCCAAGTTATCGCTTCGCTTCACCGAGACGAGAGACATGTTCGACTGTTCCACGCCACAAGCGCACGTGCAGTCCCCATCTCTATTTTCTCACACGTGTAGGCAACAGTGGAGATAGCTTTTGTATAGCAATCTTAACACACATGTTTGTTTTTCACCACAGGCAATAGAAGACGCAAACAAAAATTAAAGAAAAATACCAGCAGCGTGCAACTCCTTAACTCTCAGCCAGAACAAGCGGCCACGTTATCTGGAGCCCATTATATGCCTCCAATGTTAATCATAGCCACGCGTTGGGGTTGGCAAAGCATATGAGACGCGCCGAGTTCCAGACATCGGTTCGGCTGTTGTAGTCATTGCAGCGATTGGACACGGGCCTCTACCCGAACGCTTGTGGAGCTATTGATTATCACGAGCCCAGTTCGAGTGCTCACGCAATGCGAGGGTCCAATCTAGGAGCCGCATTTAGATAACGTCATTGCGGGATACTGCGATCCCCCAGCTCCGTCATCAAGCTTTGAGAAAAAAAGATTGAGAGAAAACAAAAGAAAACGCTCGCCTTTGTTTTTGCAATGACACCGCAACAAAAGAGTTTCTTGTTCTGTGGCGTTGTATACAAGGATATAATGGGGTCTCATCTAGTGCCAGCAAGCTTGTGTAAAGTGAAAAACATTCCAATCAAATATCGTTGCGCGGCACCTTTAGCGATCTTAACTGAAAATCCAAAGACTCATGGTCTCCGAGATTGCACCGCGTTGCACCTCGCCGCCAGGGGCGCTTCAATTTCGGAAGAATGTCCATTGGTGGGCCGTTCATTGCAGCTCCGGGCCCGCTTCTACCCGGTCTTCTCCGCCCTGTCAATGGCTTGGACGGTGGGCTGGGAAAGCGTGCTCGTCGTTTTCGTTGTTTACGCCGCCTTCTTTCTGCTGGCGGGCCTCAGGATCCGCGTCGTCTGCTACCTGGTCAGCCTCTTGGCGCTTCTCCATTACTGTTTCAAGGACAAGTGGGATCCAATGCTGGTGAGTCCCCGCGACCCATTCATGATGATAGCGCGTGCGTAACATAAAAAAAAACAAAAAAAAACGCGTGAACGGCATATATTCCGTTCACCCTTAAGCTGAGACCAATGCCGCAAGCGCGAGAGTTCCCGGTCTCTGTTTTGAAGGGTTCTTCCGCAGAACGAGCACTCACGTTAGAAATGCACAATCGAACGTGGGCTAGCTCGCGCTCGTATCTTTGGCTGCAGTCTCAGCTTAACTATGGTGCCTCGATCGCGTCTTCGACTGGTGTGTTTAGCGCCCTATCCCGCCCATACATCAAAAGTGGTCCCAAGGTGGCAACAAATGACGCGAGTGTCATGCTGTTGCCTGTCGCGATCCTGGCGGTTGGCCGTAGAAATGCTGGCGAAAAGCACGAGCGAACGCGAGTGTCGCTGTCGTCACGGCGTCGCTTTAGGCGTCCCAACTTCCGGCTGCTCTAGCTTTCGTGAACTGTCACAGTGAAAAGCGACCTGCAGCAGAACAGGCGTCTGCCACATTTACCACAACTGTTGGAACGCCGCCAGGGCGGCGACCGGCGACAGCATGACACTTTTATGACGTCATCAGGCGGAAATCGAGGGACCACTTTTTTGGCCGCGGTAAACACACCAGTCGGAGACGCGTTCCAGGCACCATAGCTTAACCGCTCATTCACACTGGAAGCGGATCCGCGTTCGCAAAGCGGTTGCGAGCGCGGTTGCATAAAGATCCAGTACAATTGCACGCGCACCCGATGACATCAAGTGCGCGTGCAATTGTACTTTCGCAACCGCTTTGCGAACGCGGATCTGCTTCCAGTGTGAATCAGCAGTAAGGCTGAAAAGTGATTTTTTTTTTTATCATTGGTAGCGCAAGCGGCACACAGGCGGAGGAACAGGGTTCTAACCAATCTCGGCCGGGTGTTTCCTTTTATGAATTTTTTTCTTCTGAAAACTTTCAGTAAATTCTCGGATGCCATCGTGTGTTTTGGCTGAGAACCTTCCTGAATGTATACCCTGCTGAAAAGCAAAGGCGGTAACGTGTTGCTTTGAGACCGTCGGAGGTGAAAAATGCGTGGTACTGTTCGCTTTAGGGTTGTAGGCACAAGTTCGCCTCATTAGAGGTATTTGTAGTTTCCCATTTATGTACTATTTTAATTTGTGCCAACATGGTCTCAAGGGATCCAGGAGCCACACATTATGGTGTGCTAGAGGCGCTGTCATAATGAGTAGGCAATTACACAACTTCATCCGTAAGCACGAGGCAGCGCTATTTGATGAATTGAGTTGCTAAACTCTTAAAGAGAAACGTACACTCCCTCTGAAACCAAAGGCTACCACCCGTAAAGCCCCTCAATGTGTTTGCGTGGGTCACAGCAAGGCATGCTGTGACCCACCATTGTAATAAAAGTGTTTACCGATAATGCCCGTAATCATCAGCTCAAACACACTTATCTGCTACGATATGAGCTTAAACTTGTTCCTCTTCTGCGAAAAGTGAATTTTGAATACTTCGAATGTTAGGTCTCAGAAATGGCCACCGCTAAAATTCGTTGCCGTGACGGGCACCATCTAGGAGAGGCAATGCGAACTCTTGCGCTCAATCGCCAGGTTATTTTTGTTTTAGAAAACTTAGTTTTGCTTACCCCCCCCCCCCCCTCCAAAAAAAAGAAAACTTATTAGTAAGTTATGTTTTTGGAGATCGACAAAAAATGGCCCGTCCTTGAATATAGTGACCAATTGCAGGCATAGCAAAATGCCAGAGTACGAGAAATAGTGTTTATAAAACAACTACTAACCGCACATTTGGACTAGCGCACGTAAGTAGAATGGCCAAAAGGAAAATCCTCCATTATGTGTTATCGTAAAGTCCGCTCGTTCCAGCGGGCGACAGGCTCCACCCATCGGCCAAACACTCCTAAGATATAGGGCTCTGACCGGATGCGGTGCCAAGCAGTGCCAAAAATGTATTCCTGCGGAGCACTTCTTTGTCCGTCTGCTATCACCGGTTAAACCAAACGCGCGAAGAGAAAAGCGCAGGATCACAACGCATTTGATGTGCATGATTGGTTCAGCCCCAATGGCGAGGGTACAAAGACGGCGAGTGCCGTTCCGGTGGTGCCGGTCGCACTGCCCTCCTAAGTGTCTCGTCTAGAGGTCTGCATGGGTAGGGGCCAGCCTGCAAGCCACGGGCCGGCCCGGCCCGCGGGCCGGGCTCGGGCTTTACGGTTATATTCATGAAGGACCCGGGCCGGGCACGGGGGTGCATTCAAGCCTACGACGGGGGCCGAAGTGGGCCAAGACGCTGTTACTTTTAGAGCGCAGCTCTTAGGCGCCCGTTTCCGGCTTCAGCGGCGTCGCCGTCGTCGTCGGCGTAGCCACACGTTGCATTATGAGACGTTTCCCATAATGAAGTCAAAAGTGACGTCACCCTTTTTACGTCACACGGCGCCTAAATGTAGCGGAAAAGTTCCTCGCTAAATTTAACAAAAAAAATTCCAGCTAAACTTAGCTGAAAAATTTCCCTGCTAGCGGAAAAAATTCCCCGCTGAATTTATCAGATAAGTTTCCCTGCTAACTTTCGCGGCAAAATTCTCACCACTAAATCTAGCAGAAAAATTTTTCCGCTAAATTTAGCGGATAAATTTCCCCGCTAACTTTAGCGGGGAATTTTTTCCGCTATATTTAGAGGGGAATTTGGCGAAAATTTCCCGCTAAAGGGGGCGCGAGCAGGATAGAAGGGGAGGGTACGGAGGGTCATACCCTCCCTCCGTACACTCCCCACCTCCTCCTGAAGAGCTGCACTCTGAATCGGCATTGCAGAAAATTGCAAACGTCTTTCATCTTTTCTTTTTTTAACAGTAATGTTTTTAGGAAGCTTCTTCGGGGGATTGCGGGAGGGACGACAACGGGGGAAATTAGCTGTTCGCACACCTAATTTTTGTTTTGGTCGGAGAAGCAGCCCATTTTAAAAACCGCTATCAGCTCTACGAAATGTTCGGAAACTCTCTTCTCATCGCATTTATCTTCTCAGCGAAGGCTTATTGGAAGAATGTGCGAGGGCGTTGGAGGCCTGCTGAAGAATAGCACTACTTTGCACAACGTGAGATCTACAGCGGGGGTATGAATACCTACGGCAGAAAACTTTGTAGAGGTCCTGAAACCGAAATCCCCTTCTGGTACAGTTGTTCTATCTTATGAAAACTCTGTCATCCGATTCCGTTCTACAAAGCAAGTTGAGTGGCAAGGTGTGCGCCCAGTTTATTGAATCCAGTCTACACACTTGGGGAAGAAGTGGTCGAATCACGTGGGAACGCAGACGTCCTCGTTGCGAAGTGCGCTATCCAGGAGTTCAGAAAAGTTGTTGTAATTTATTTTTGCATTATCACCACAAAATGCTTTGAAATGTCAAGGATTCTTCTCTTAAAATTAAAACAGCAAGAGCGAAAGGATACTCCAGCCATACCAAGAGCTTTAGCCAAAAACTTTGATCTCATTTTCAGTGTATTATCACTCACCTGAAATGATGTCTGCCGTTTCAATAATTGTTTTTCTTGTGACTTTGTGTATTATATTTTAAGCTGATGGTTATAGTATTTGGTTGATCTTTTCTCCGACTATAAATTATGTTGCTCAGAAAACATTAGGATTAGCAGGGCCATACGCCCGCAGCATAAGCGTCAACATGAAAGGAACCGCCGATCGTTGCGCCATATATCGACGCTATCGTGAATGAAGAGCAGAGTAAGCGCATGTGCAGGACGGCTGCCGCGCTGCTGCAAGGCGAATGCTGTCCGAAAGTTCCACGCGCGCTGAATTGTAGTTAGATTTTGATAAAGAATATTAATATTTCTTTGCATACGCTAGCGCATATAGTACCTTGGCACACTAGAGAGACAGATGGAATATACACAAAGAAGGTATGACCAAAATCGAAACAAGTATTTTTTTATATATATAAAACAAATTTAAGGCTGTTTTTGCGAGTATTCGAGCTGAGGGTTGCACATCTGCTGCATTATCATCATAAATGAAAAAGGCACTTTAATAAAAAGAACACCTGCTAAAAGACTAAAAAGTCACGAACAAGATCATATCTTATTTTCTTCAAAAGAATAAATATGCCCTCGACAGCAAATGGCAAAAAGAAAAAAAAAAATCGCGTTTTGGAGAGAGTTCGAGAATTCTTTTTTCTTTATATTTTTCCTCAAAACAAGTATACAGGGTGTCACAAAAGAAAATTTACACGGTCTTTTTTACCGCAAAAATGAACTAGGCATCGCCGAACGCTCATTCTCCGCCCAAAAGTAAAGCTAGAGGTTACAATCAGATGCCAAGGTTTCAGCCCGATCCGATACCTTAATCGAAAGTTATAAGTGATTTTCGTAAAATCTCAATGGGAAAATGGAGCCCATTTTTGCCCGTTTTCGGTTTTGGTGCCATAAAGCCCCATGTGTTTGAAAACTCTGTCGGCCGCCTTTTTCCCATTGAAATTTCCAGAAAATCACGTATAACTTTTGATTACGTAATCGGATCGGGCTGAAACTTTGGCATCTGGTTGGGACCTCTAGCGCTACCTTTGGGCGGAGAAGAAGCGTTCGGCGATGCCTAGTTTATTTTTGTGGTGAAAAAGACCGAGTAAATTTTATTTTGTGACAGAACGTACTTTTAGTCACATATGCTCCCCATCAAGTGTAAGGTGAGAAAAAAAATGTTCGTGCGAAAAATACTGTTATGAAAATATAGGCGTTCAAACATGCCTTTCAAAATTGAAGTCATTTACTGCCTCTTCTAGTCTTTATTATGTATCCATTAAAAAATAATGCAGTGATTTATAGCTTGTCTTTATGCATAAATGTGTACATCATATATTTATTCCAAGAAAAACGAAGGCGTCGTCTTGACCGTTCTGAATGATCTGACGTGGAATCACCCTGCTTTAAGTTTGGAACATCCCGGCTAATATCATACTAGTGACAATGAAAGACCAAACCTAAAAAT